CGACAGGCTTGGTCTTCGCTTCGGATTTCTCCGATGCGGCGGGTTCCTCGATGTGGGCTTGCCCACGCTCCAACGGCACAGGATCATCTCGTGTCCTAGCATTGGCAACAGGTGGATGAGATGCAGGGTCTTTCAACAACCTCATCGGGAAGATGAACTCATCAGTCGGAAGCTCAATGCGCTTTGTTCGCTGTACCGTGAGGGACGCATATTCAATGTGGTAATCGAGCCCTTCTAGTTTTGCAACAAGGAACTCGCCTTTCCATGCGAACCCAGGCTGAATGTGGTACCCGAGAAACACGCCTTCGTTTGATGTTGGCGAAGTCTTGCCTGCCTGATTGTCAGCTCGTGCAGGGTTGTTCCAGAACAGTACCTTTGCTCCGAAAGGTATCTCAGCTTCATCAAAGGTCTTGTGAAACCTGAGGTACCATGGCGAATCATTTCCATTCAACTGTGGCAGGATGTTGGTCGCAACTGCATTGTGCTGGATTGCAAATGGCCACATCGACAGTGGAAACCCTGACTGAACAAGATTCGCACGTGCTCCCTCCAACAGATGTCTGATCTCCCTTTCTACGAAAGATTTGGAAGAATCAACATATTCAATGGAGGTCTGATGACGGTACCCCAACTGCTCTATAGCGGCTTTCAATTCCCGGGAGTTATCGGTGTAGAGAACCTCAACCTCATCCCTACCGGAAATGAAATGCTGGATCCCTGCAACGGATTGCTCCGTGCTTTTGCTGGTCGACGGATAAACGTACCTGAACTGCGTATGCACGTCCTTGATCACAAGAGCACACCATTCACCTTTGATACCTTGCTCGATGTTGACCTTGAGAATCACATGATCAGCAATGATGTGATCTCCAAACGCTTTCGTCTCGAGCCTTCCCTGCCCGCCCTTCGATCTTGCATATGGGGCAAGCATCTTGGCACGTTGGCAAGTTCGGCAAAAGGGATTCTTCGGACAGTGTGCAAACAAGTGCTCTTTGGTACTCGCTTCGGCAACCAGATCTTGCTCTTTGCGGGATCTCACAAACCGCTCAACTTCGTCGTCGGGATCATCGCCTTCGTCGATGCTTTCGTCATGAACCGGTGCAGGCGCTGGCTTGGATGCTGCTACTGCACTCAACGATGGCTCAGCTTCACAGCTAGAATCCATGTATGGCACATGACCGTCAACCTTAAGCTGGATCAGAGCACCATCAGGGCGAACCATGGTTGGCGCCTTCCCGGATTCCCAATGGAAGGAATATCCTTGATCCAGACACTTCACACCCAGCGACAGCACTGCGGGAGAACTCTCGAGGATGTAAGGCTGAGCAGGCTCACACAATGCATCGACATTGATGTCGGCGATTTCGGAAGCAGTGATGTTTCCGTTTGCAGTCACAAGGCGAATAGGCTGTGGGGCCTGTTTTCGGATTGCCTTGGACGCATTCCTCAGTGCAGCTTTGCTGATGAGGTCCTGCTCACTACCGGAATCAATAAGCCACACGTCCTTTCCCTTTGGTGCAGGGGTGGCTGCCCTTGGCGCTTCGACATCCTTGCGAACATCGTGAGGCGGCATGGCAATTCTCAGGCACTCATCACATGACAGGCTTGAGATGGAATCGGATTCCACATCGCACATGAAACCACAAGCGGGCTGGGCTCCGTTCTCAATGGCTTTGATTACGGCATTCAACTGGTTCGCGGCCTTGCGTGCTGCCTTGTTCGTCCCTTTGGTCGGCCTGGGGCAGTCCTTGGCATTTGGAAACATCCTGTTGTACTGCCGTTCCTCGTACTCAAGCTTGAAACCATCGCCTTCGGCGGGGATCTCATGCACATGAGCGTTGGTGTCAAACGACACCCCAATCGGATTGATCGGCTTGGCAAACATGGCGTACCTAGTGCATACTGCAGCGGCTTTGGCCTTGGGCTTAGGCTTAGGTGAATTTGCACGCTTCTTGGCCGCAGGATTTGCGTTGGCCTCGTTGCTCGATGCCGCGGCGGCAGATTTGCCGCCCGTGGAGGCATGGCTAAACTTGCATTTGTCACCTCTAGTGCACTTCCCTTGGGCAAAGAAAGAACACGGTGCTTTCTCTCCTTTATTGCCTTTGGGGGAACTTGGCCTGCCACGGGTCGCGGAGCGTCCTCGCGGCTCCTTGCGGTGCGCGTAAGGGCAGTTTGCCCCCCTCGTGCACGAGCCCTTCTGGAAGTCAAAGCAGTACTTTTCCTCGGTGTCCTTCGGCTTAGGTGCGCTCTTTTTCTTGGGGTCCCTCTTTTCAGGGGCGGCAGCACCAGCCTTGGGCGTCGGGGCTTTACTGGCATTGACTTTGGACACGCGCTCTCGGTTCTCGCGAAGCCTATCCCTCTCGATTAGATCCCTCATGCAACGCATTAGGAAATCGTACGATTTGTTGGGATCATCATCACGGCAACGATCATATGTGTCAATGTCGTACCGCAACAGATGGCAGCTTCTCACTTGGCGAAGCAAGATGTCTTTCAACACCTTTTCTTCCGGCGGCCTTTTCATGCCGGCGATCACGGAATCCCAAGCGTTTAGGAAACGTTTGAGATCAATGATTCCTTCGCCGTGTCGCGAGACACGCAACAGGTCCTCCAAGGAGTAGAGGTTTCCGGCTTCTTCACTGGTCTTGAAATATTGGTCAAACATAAACAAGACCTGCCTTCCTCTCATGGCCTTTCCCTCCTTGGCACATTCTTCCTTCGCTGTTAGGATTCGCTGAGCCAGATCGCCTTTCGCTGAACGCGTGAGCGCTGCGAGAATCTTCGTGTCTAGGGTCACGAATTTTCCCGGTTCGCCGAGCTCCTCCAACAGCTTCTTCTTGTCCTCGCGATCGGACCAGACTTCCATGATCCAAGGCCAAGCCTCGTCTGGACGGTCAGATGCAGCGCGGACATCCTCACGAACCGATGTCTTCCATTCACGGTACGTTTCAGGAGTTGGCATCTCCTTGAATCGCAACGTCTCGCTTTCGCGGGCTCTGGGCTTTGCATCGTTCGTGTGGCCCTTTACTAACTTCATCAACATTTTGGCGAATGCTTCTTGGCCGAGGTTAGGCCCGAGGCCATCACCTTCGTCTTCATTACCATCGCCATCGCCATCATCATCAGGTGGCGGACCGCCGGGAGGCTTACCACCCTGCTTGCGGTCAGTTGACATTGGCCCCTGAGAGAATTGCAGGGGCGGGACCGGTGCACTTGTTTTCACCGGGGATCGGCTGCTACCTGATGGCTTTTCAGCTGGTCCTTGCGGATCGCGAGCATCTGCGGGCAGTGCTTCGCATTCGGCAGTTGGAATCACGCTAGGGGTATATTCAACCCCGTAACCGTCATAGGTAACAAGCGACCTCAACTTTTCCTTTGCATATTGAAATGGATGGGACAACGGGTCCAACATTGACCTTTGGGACCGAGCTGACTTCATGTCGTCGGTCATCAACTCTGGTGAATCCTCTCGGGTATCACCTACCCCTTCGGGCTTCGATCCATCCTCGCGGAGGTCGTGTTGCTTCTGATACCTCTTCAGCTCATCGAGCTCGTCCTGCAGAAGCCCGTTTTGGTGGGCCATCATGTCAATCATCCTGGCGTTTTTCGCTTCAACACGGGCTGTGTCATCGGCGTGCTTGGCAGCTTGCTCATGAAGGAGCTGCTGGGCTTCCGCCAGGGTGGATTCGATGGCTTGCCTAAACTCAGTTGTTTTGTGTCCCATTTCCGCTTCATGCAATGCTTGGGCGTTTTCCTCACACACTTGGCTTATCCTAGCTTCAGCGAAGTTCACTTCTTGGATGAACTCATCGCTCACTCGCTGTTCGTATTCACGAATTCTATGCGACTGGGCTTGCACACATTCAGCGTAGTGTGCATGCAGCTGATTCTGTGCGACACGGAGCTCCTCACGGTTTTCCGCTTGCAAATGCGTGACAGCTGCTTGATGCAGGGCTTCGGCTTCAGACCTAATGGCTGCATCATTCCCAAAAGCAAAGATTGCGGTATTGCACAGTTGAAGGGAATTCATCAGGGTGCGGTTGTACTGCGCATTGGCGCTTGATGCGAACATTCGCACACCGCCGCCGGTGGCGTTGTCGGAGCTAGCTCCGGCAGCATCCACAGGCATGCTGGATCCATCAACTGGCACAAGGGAACCGTCCATTGCTTAGAGCTAGGGGCCTACGGCTGATAACCTATAGATTCAAGGGTTACCGGTTTGGGGCCCAAAAGGAAACAACAAACCGTCCAAGTGCGCTGCTCGCACATTTTCACGCTTGAACAGCCACACTGTGGATGCAATGGATGTAAAACCCCATACTGACCGATCAAATTCTTCACTTTGCATATCCTTTCACAAAGTTGCGGTCAAGGAATCTGGAGCCTACGATGCCGGCGGCTTCCACTCCACAACGAACCACGCAGAAAGCAAAAGGTTTGTCCGACCCCATGAAAAGTTCACCCCCTTCGCGGATTGCCCAAAAAACCAAATGAGTTCGAATGGCTGGCTCGACCAATCGATTGAACTTTGAAGCAAACTGCAAGCGTTCGCGGCAATGGGCTAGCGAAGTTCTGGGTCATCCAAGCTTCCTGCCTCAGCCTGCTGCTTTCTTTCTGACGATTGCACCAGCGCTCTTGAAACCGTCGAACTCGATCTCTCGCAGGTTGCGGTTCGATCCCTAAATGGCCCAAAGCATGCGCAAAGAACCACGGCAGTGAGCCCCTCAGAAAGCCAAGTTCATTACGCCTACGGAGCGCTTCCCTATCACCTGGTTTCTGGAACGGTATAAATGAGGGACCACCTGGGCCAAAAGAGAAAAGGCTTGATGATGTGGATACCATTGCAATAGCCAAATTCACAAATGCGAGCCTTCTCCTGAACACACACCCAAAGCTTAAAAGGTTGTGCCCCCTGAGGCCGTGTGGTTTCCCTTTTCCACCAAAAAAGGGGTGGTCTCGAAAACGACACGCCCGAAAGGCCCTCAGCCAGAGGGGACGTCCTGGTCGGTGCCACGTGGCAAGCGCCCGGAGATGGTAAACACCACCTCGAAGTCTGTGGAATCGATCGCCTGGGCCGCTTCCAAAACAGGGGCACACACCAACACCCCCCAACAGTGCACTGCTTTTTGGGCATTGGATTTTGGACCTGGGAAACAGCGGTTGTTGGGGGGGTGCTGGCTGAAAAACATCTTCAGAACAGTCGAAAGACTCCATGTGCTTCCAACTGTATCGCTCGCGCATGCCGATATCCTATCTTCAGATTCTGCTTCATATTTCGCGTGACTATAGGCCATCCAAATGATTGGCATAGGTTGGCATCCGAGGGCCGGATCCAAACCTTGGATTCGCGCCAGCCCGGCCTTCTTGTTCCACATGAAGGCGGCCCGATCGGCCACTGGCGGCATCAACAGTACGCGGTCCTCAACCCACCCTCTGCACCCTCCCATGGCCCCAAGGGCTGCGTTTGGACAGCTGGGCCTTTGACCATGAAAGTTTGCCAGTTGGGGTGTGCTAACCCTGCTGGTGAAAACCTCTGGCTATGTTGACATTCTACTCAATGACGGTTGATCTGGCACTTCTGAGCGACAGGCCGTGGGGAGACAAACGTATTAGCGAGCACCATATGAGATATGACTACACGTGTCCAAGTGCTTGACAAAACCACAGAATTTGACATACTTTGACGCCGCATAGTGGCCGTCCAGTACCCAAGGCATACTCACGTCGTATGCCCCTTTGCCCGCTGGCTTGAAAAAAAAGCGGCGGTATATCATTCCCTTGGGCTAGTGGTTTTGGGGTCGGGGGGGGGTGGGGGTTGCAGTGGAAACACTCCGAAACTGACAAAGGGGAACGGCGGTCCTGCATAGCCATCGACGCGGCACTCAGCAGCCTGCCATGCGAGAGAAGTTGCCGTCCGATTCAATCAACTGCAATGTTGCAACCGTGCAATGTTATGCCTTACCCACACGTTGTCCTTCTTGTGTTGTTTAATCGAAACGAATCCAACAAGCGATTCCCAAGGTTCATTTCTCTACAAATGGTTTTGGCTACCCCACGTTGTTTCGCAAGGGAGCATTGAAGGACGAGGCAAAACTACTCGCCGGCTCAATGGCTCAAAGCTAGAACAATCTGCCCTTGAAGGTCAAGGCTGTGCGCGACATGCACCAGCGATTGAACTGTTGAACACAGCTCAAGCAGGCTGAGTTGCTAGTTGGCAACTGAAGGAACAAGAAACTCTGTATAAGCTACGCAGGCCGCAATGCTGCTCTGAGCATTGAGCTCATTAACGCTCAAATCTGGGGGCGCTCTTTTGACGGAACCCCTTTCCTGGGGCTCTTGTATCATCTCTACTCTTGGCTATGGTAGCAAAAAACTTTGTTTTTTGCAGACCCCCAGTAAAAATGAACAAAACCAAAAAGCTAAAAACAAAAACAACAAAACAAATGCCAAGAACAGTGAAGTTGTTGAAGGTCACCCACGCCTTTGTCCCCTCAAAAAAGCCATCGGCAGCGACCGACTTCGCTCGCGCGGCGCGAGCTAAGTCGGGCTCAGCGAGGGCCCCGCCATGTCTCATCGTGGATGGTGCGCTCGAAGGAGTGGCTGGGCAGCAGCCAGCTGTCTCCAGGACCTCGCTGGTGACCTCTCAAGACGCGAGATTTGTTTCACCGGGCGGAGCGCTGGAAACGGGTCCACCTAGAGTCTCCATGACGGGGTCATGACCCAAAATAGTGGGGTCATTTACCCATTTTTAAAGGGTCATGGAGACTCCAGGTATATGGTTCTCTCTAAAGAAAGATGGGGGCTTCCTTTTGGCCCCCTCAAATACCGACCAAAAGGGGGGTCCACCATTTTGAAAAGCTGCCAACATGCGTTACCTTGTGCACTCAAAGAAAGTCTGAACTTAAACTTTCGGATTGTCGCTAAAACTGCTTTCCCCAGAACTAGATAAGTTCCATGCTAGCGGGAAGTGAGTATATATCCATGTCCTGCCCCGTTACCTTTGATGCAAACATGCGTTCAAAACATCCGATCAACCCCAGGCCAACGACTGCAAAACGCCGCAACGCGTATGCAAGTTCCTAATAGGAAACAGTTGCAATCTGGGGAAACCCGACTGGGGTGTCTTGGAAGACCCATATTTTCTCCCGGATTAATGAGACCGTCCCATTGTTGGGGGGGATTCCCTCCAAAACTTTTCACTTTTTGTGCGTCCAATTCGGACAATCCCACTTATTTCACAAAAGTTCACGTCTAAAGATCCGTTGAAGGCAAACCACCGGTCATTGCCAACCAACTTTTGATTTACCAACCTTTGAACACCAGGTCTTTTCTTGTGGGATCAACCCCAAAATGGGAAAACCCGTCCAACCCGGTCTCATTTCGCTCGGAACCGATTCGCTGTGAAACAAAAAAATCTGAGCCCTGAGCCTGCCGGAGCTGCAGCGACTCCGAGCGCCACCTCGGATTCGGTGAGTCAGGCGAAGGGTTCCAAAGGTCTGAGGAAATTTGCGGGCGACTGTGACACACAGAATGTATATATAATATATATATATATACACTAGGTCCTCCAGTTAGAGAGGTTTTTCGAATAAGGCTACCCGATCTTTTTTTTCTGTGGTCTATTTTAGTAGGGGAACCCTCCCCCAACAAAGGGTAAAAGGGCACTACTGGGGACCCAGTATATGTATATGGGAGAATCAAAGAAAAAGCATTGGCAACCACGGGGTCTGGCAAAGGTTCCAAGGCTTGATGCCCCATCTTTATCCACTCTCCTCAACACTCTCCTCAGAAACCGTCCATCTGGCCCGGGCCCTTTTGCTGAAGAGAAGTCTGTCTTTGGGAAGGACTTCAGCCAAAATCAGCCAAAAGGTGCCACTACGGCCAAAGAAATGGAACCTTTCCATCCCAAATGTTCAACCTCAGCTTTGCCCAAGCAGAAACAATATATTCGGTTCTGGTGCACGTTTAGCGACCCTGAACATGTAAAACTACTTCAAAGACATCCCAGTCAATGATATTTGGTGGGCATCCCCCCACTCCAAAAAACCAGACTCCCCCAACTCAAGCCAGATCTTGCGGCCTTGCCAAGGTTGGACCCTCCCACTCTGGAACAGCGCGCGCTGGCTGGGGCAGCCGTGCCACATCTGTGGAGACCATTTGAGAATGCTACAGGGGCGCACTCTCAAAGTGCAAAATCTGGGTAAACATGTTGTCCAAATGCGAACACACAAGACCGCCAGCAACCTACCGGACTGACAAGTGACAAGAGGTGTGTCCCGAACAGGTGTCCCTGTGCACTCCTCTTAAACATCACCACACAAAGAGGGGAGACCGACCTAAAATTTGTCCGAAGTGTTGTGCAAGCTGGCTTAGAAGGGAAGCCTAGCTGACTTGCATGGCCCACATGACCTGCAAATGAAGGCTCAGCCCTTTGGAAACTTGACTATATAAGCGCAAGATTGGGCAAACCAAAGATTCAAAGCCCGGCTTTAGATGACTACTGTGGATGGATAGAACTCTAGGAGTTGATTCCTTTTCCATTCTGTTCACCGTTCTTTTCAACAACCGATCGCTGTTTCCCCTGGGGTTCTGATGGTTTTCTTGTGTCAGAAGGATCCATGGAAAATCCGCGCCATGCACCAGCTGGGATCGGCGGCTTACCCCAGCATTCAACTCGGGTGGTTAGTCAACGGCTGCCGATCAGCGTGGATCATCGTAACTCATTTCCTGAGTGGCTGGGCCAATCAAAGTAACCAAGCCGGTTCTTTACCACTGGAATGGTCCAAACCTAAAAAGCCTCACTTCCTGAGCGGACTGGCCCCAAAACAAGCTTTACCACTAAGATAGACTTCCCAAAAAGTGACTAAAGTCCACGAACTCAGGGAGTGAGACTTACCCTCCCATCCAGAAACATGGAACCTCATGGGGGGGGGGAGGGGCGGGGGCGGGCGGGTCCTAGATTGGACCATTTGTCTCCAAAAAGCGAGTAGGGTAAAGAACCATCAACTAAAGTCTTGCTTTGTATTGCTTTGTATTTACCACAACCACTAAAATTGTCTTCCCAAAAAGTGACTAAAGTCAGTAAGGCAAAGAACCCTTCCTGGGCTCCTCACAAAACCCACCGCGGCGATGCATCTCGCCCCCATGGCGATCGACTCGCGAAGCTGAGCCAAAGGCGGCAGGGGAGCTTTGGGTGTCGTGACCCGTTTTGGGGTTGTGTAAAATGAACATGAAAACGACCTCATGCTGTTTTTATTGGGGGAGAGGAGGGGACTAACCACCTCATATTTGGGGGCTTCCCTTATTTAAGGACGAGCTTGTATGGGATACCTGGCGCCGAGAGAAGACGCTGATGTGCCTGGGTCGGCATAGTTGGCTGGCGCAGGCTGGTTGGTCTCAAGCACTGCGACAACGTGATGCGGTTCTTTGTGGGTGAGCGCGGGGGAAAAAACGTCAAAACAAAAACGTGAAGACAAACAAGTCAAAACAAAAAAGAGCGGAAGCAACTTCAGAAAGACGACATGCTCGAGAGTTGACCAAAAAGTGGTAAGGCATCACTGGAACCTCAGAAACCCAAAGTCCACATTGGCCCATTTCAAATGTGGGCCTCTCTGTCTTAAGGGTACCCACCCCTGTTTGGATCGTTTTAAAGGGAAACAACACAAACACCACCTTTTAGGGCCCACCCATGTAACCATCTCACACCAATACACGTACAGTGCGAATGACGAGATCAATAAGTGCATCTTGTTCATATCTGTTCTCATGAGCGATGGGCCATGGGCAATGCAACTTGTTCTGCCATGGAGTCAACCAGTGCAAGCAGGTAAGAGCCGTACGACCCAGCAGGCCATACCCGTTCTCCCACTACAGCAGTTGCGTAGTCCTGGAAGATCAGGTTCCTCAAAAACAAAAAATCCCCGTGCGAATGGCCTTCACAGGGCTGAACATGGCCAAGCTGCCAAGACCCGCATTGTGCCACGGGAGGGGTGCTGAAACCAGAGCATCCGCCCAAAGCAACCGATTTCCGGGTGGCGTTCTCCGGACTTTCCAGTCAGATTACCATTGGCATCTTTCTGCCCAAGAGTGCACCTCGCCAAGTGAAAAATAACGGCCTAGGTCCGTCGCAGTTTGACCGGAGTAAGGCACCCTGGAGAACCCAGTGCGAAAACCATTCATCGAAGACCCTTAGATGTTCAAGGGTGTGACGCAGGGATGCGGCTAGAGGCTCAGACTTGTTCGAATCCTCAGAAAATCAGCAGGATTTCAGAAACTGGAAGTCAGCCCATATCAAGAACCAAGGGAAAACGGCTATAAAACCAGACTTGGTGAGAATATTGTGATGTTCTTGTCCTGAGGCATAGTGGCTACACCATCTCTGCCCCTCCCAAACCTCCAAGCATTCCTTCTTTTTCTCGGCTTGTCTCACTGTCTCCCGCTCGTGGCTGTAAGCATCCCTACCAACGCCGAAACGACGGCCCGTCCCAGAATGCGCTATACCAGGTGGTCCTTTCAGCACCTTTTTGGCCCCCGTCCTGCGAATTTGTTTCCTGGTTGCTTAGCGACCCTGGTAGAGAAAGGAAATTCTTTTAGGGGTTGACCATGTATCCGCAAAAAATATAATACTCCAAAAACCAGAAATACGGGATCCCCAAGAAAAGGATCTTTGTCACGGTGAGCCCTTTTTACCCCCGGGTGAGCTGGGTATAAGTTCTGCAGATTCACAGGCGGTTCTGACCCCACAAACAAAGAGGGCAAAGCAATGGAATCCTCTGAGCAATTCTTGGACCAAGAGGTGCCGCTGTGTTTTGTTAGAGTCTGGGCAATTCTTGGCCAACCCCGAACAATGAAATCTTTTCTCACCTGCCCGAAGGACCTGGAAATACAAGTTGATCACTTGTTGGAACCTTGACAAAATATAGACCAACACAGTTTCAAAGGTCGTTTCGGGTCGGTATTGAACAGCTGAGGGCCCCAAACTCGGCTCTCACAAAAAGACCACCGTGGCGCTGTACAAATCAGCCCGGCTTTAAACTTCCGGCGTCTCGGGGCTCCATTGAAAGCTGGCCCCATCGGCGTGAGGGAGCCGAAAGAACCTTTTTGTGGGACTCCCACGTGCGCACCAGGACGATTTCCGGCGAATTTCCAGGTTTGGGGAGCTTTTCCTTCTTTGAAACCCTGGAAAAGCAGGTGGGGTCGGGGGGCCGTTGGGTTGATGTATGGGCAAACAAGAAGCAAAAACGATTCGGAATCCACTCAACTGGCGACTTGCGCGCCCAAAGTAAACCAGTGGCAATGCTGAGCCCGGATCTAAGGAGAACCCGTCCAGTTAATAGGGAGAGGGGGCCCAAAACCCTCCCACAATAGGACGGGTTCTAATGTTGACCCTGGATTAATAAACCTCTGTTTATTGATATGAATCTCCACTAAACCCAGGGACACCCCCCTAACTAAACCTAGGGTTTATTAATCCGGGGTCAACAATTCATGGATCCGTCGCCATCATTGTCCAAAGTGGGAAATGAGCACTGTGATGCTAGAAGGCCTTGCCAACAAACTCTTCACAAGGTGAGGTTCCCTCGTATACAATTTGGAGCCATGGCCCGCTTCACAAACTCACCACCTGTGAGTTAAAAGGCAACTCCGGATTTTATGTTTGCCACACGGATTGGTGAACAAACTCCAAAGCAAGCCCAGAAATCGTAACCCAAAACCTGCTGCTGCTCAGGGAATGTGGGAATGACCCCCGGGAATTCCCACATGTCGGCTCCCTTCAGGCCTAATTACATGGAACTAAACGGGCGGGTCGATGCAAGTCTGCCCGGGGCTACGGCCCCGAAGAAAGTTGACCCCCTGCAAAAAGTGGATCACTTTTTGGGGGCTTAGTGGAAAACCCCTTGATTTCCCAAAAAGTTAAACTCTAAAGATCCAACCCAATAGCAGTCAAGAAGGACAGGGTTGCCTGTATGGTGATGTTTAACGGGGTCCCGAACCCTTTGCTGGACATAATTGGGTGGCCGGGATTTTCGGTGGGGGTTCATGACAACAACTACCTTTGAGGTAATTCCCTATTTAATTGTGCGGCCATATTTCCCGAAACTTCACCCCCCAAGGAAAGCTCACTGCAAACTGGCAACCAACAAAGATACATGCTGAAATACAGGGAAGCTTCGCCGACTAGCCAAGCGAGGGCTTCACAAGAAACGGACCACCCTTTGTGGCTTGAAACGCAAAAAAAATCGGAACCCCCCACACAACCTCGCACACAAGCGTGAGGATCCTACAGGATGAATTGGACCTGGAGTCTCCATGACCCTCAAAAAATGGGTCAATGACCCCATTTTTTGGGGTAATGACCAACCATGTTTTTACGGGTCATGGACACTCCGAGAAAAAAAACACACATTCCTGGCCCAGTGCAGGCAAAGCTCGGGACTGGAACCCAAAGTCCGACCGTCCAACCCCAGCCAGGCCAGCTGCTTTCTTCGAAGCCTGTGCTTGGTTGACGTTAGAAGGGGAGCAACAATTTAAATTGCTAGCAGTTAGGTGGATTTGGATTTCAACCACAAAACCACAATAAGCAAACATGTGTCCAATGTTTCCCAACAACAACCATGTGTGGGTTTCTTTCTTGTTTTTTGGCTTGCGGACCCAGCGAAGAAAACGATGGCAAATCTTGAGGGCCCGGAATCCACAGCAGAAATGGGAGGTCACTCAAGGCCCCAGGCGGCTTGCAAGGACGTGCCACCAAAAACGTAGATGGCGAACGGTCTCATCGAAGTTGCGCCTGAGTAGCCACGCCCTGCCCGCCTAAATGGCAGGGATTCCTACATTCTTCCGAAAGTTGTTCGGAGACCCTGTCCTGACAGACCTCCTGGTAGCTCCGAACCCCAGGCGAGTTTGGTGGAATCATGTCATGTTTCACGTCGCAAACACAACACTTCCAAGCTTTTCGCATGCCCTGTTTCAAGATCGGCCAGCAACACCAAAAACGCGCACACACACACACACACACAACTTCACTTGTTGCCGGTGGAAAGGAAGTCAATCTCAGTTGCCCAATGGACCCAAAAATAAAAGGTTACCTTTTTGGAGCCGTGACTAAAAATGGGATCCCAAAATGGGGAAACTAGACGGTCAAAAGGTCAGCTTTGAACAACTGAGCTATTCTGCAGGAGCCCAGAAAGGATTCCCACGAAATGCAACAATCTGATCCGAGCTGCAGGTGCCTCTTAGTCGTCTTTGTGCTGCGACCCAATGGCGCGGACGATGTCCAGCGCGGAGAGAACCCCAACCTGAGTTCTTTTCTCCCTTCCCGAGCGGAGCCAAAAAAGTCTTTTAACAACTGGTTGGTCGCCAATATGGCCCAACCCCAAAAAGTGGACTTCAAGTCCAGGAACGGAAGTGAGTTTGTCTTGCCACCAGAAACGCCCGGCAGGTATCAAAAGCCTTGGAGTCATGGGTGCCATGGGTTCGGCCGGGGGAAGCTCCGAGTTTGGCTCCCTCGGACTCCGCTGGGCCCGTGGGAAGCTCCGCTGGAGCGGGGAATCCCCGGACCTCGAGGAGTCCGCCCTCAAAACACGGAGACAAGCAGATCCAGCGCCCAAGTGGAACCCAAAATGGCGGTTTTCGGTTGCGTTCCTTTCGTTAACCATCAAAAACCGGGTACCCTTAAAAAAAGGCGCCCCAAGTACATGCAGCGCAACCGCCCCGGACCAGTGACAGTTTTTGATTGAGACAAGCATGAGCTCACAGGAACCCTTCCAAACTTCACTTCCTGAGCATGGCTCAAAGGTCCAAGCTGTTTGTCTACCAATGGTCCAAACCAAAAAAGGATCGGTCGCTAAAGTTCGAAACGGAGCTCAGGGAGAAAGTGCGTGGCACCTCGAAGGCGGCCGAGCAGCAATCTTGCACCTCGCAGGCTCCTGGACCAGCAAGTGGTGCAGGCCGCCCTTGCACATGACGGCCTTAGGCAACCAGCTAGCAAGCTAGCTAGCTAGCTAGCTAGCTAGCTAGCAAGCAAGCAAGCAAGCAAGCAAGCAAGCAAGCAAGCAAGCAAGCAACAAGCCAACACACGCAACCAACTGACCAAACAAATCAAACCAATCCACCAACCGTACAGCTCCAACCAATCAACTGACCAACCGACCAAATCCAACCATGAAAAGCACAACATAAAACAATCAAAACACTACACACACACACACTCACGCACAAACAGACCTGCATAATGAACCCTCAAGGAACGGTCCTCATTGGCTCTCACTTTTTGTTAAGGTCGGTTTAAACCCCGGCGGTAGGGGTTGATTCCCAAACACTCCATGTATGGAAGTTGTCCTACATCTTCCCTCCAAATGGGTCAAATTTAGCATGTATATACACAAATATATACATGCACATGACACATATCACCTACTATGGATTGTTTGGAATTCGGGGGTTGGTCCCAAGCCAAAACCGTTTGCACGCAAGGACGTGCACAAAGCATGGCTTGTGTAACCACCCTCAAATATTGGCCAGGCTCAGGCTTCCTGCACAAAGCTTGACTTGGAACCCGTTCAGGTCCCCTTTCCATGACCTTAAAGGAACCCTTACCTTGGCTCTCTCGATCCAAGAAGGGTCCCCGTGTTGGTGGTCATTTCAAAATGTGTCTTAAACCACAGAAAGGCATATGGGTTTGTTGCATTTTTTAGGGACCCCAAAAATTGTAAACAACACACTTCCTTCGTTGGTAAGTGGGTAACGCACGTGTCATCCCCTGCCTGGTTGCTCGTCCATTAAACCTAGCCAAGCATAGGACACCTTGTTTCAAAAGATTTCCACACAGGGAATCCTGTTTCAGGCAACTTCACTGGCTGGTGGTGCATGGAACCTCCCGATTGCTTGTTTGCGATACGTTGTTCTATGGTAAAATGAACCAACTCCCGCTCATTTGCGATCGGTCCCCCAAAGCCAGCCAGCAAGGACAAACAACTGAATCAGGGAATCCCCAAGTAGTAGAGGGCCTTCGGCTCACTATTAAATAAGGCAAGCCCGTATAGGCATAGGTGTCCTTCTTGGAAAATGGATGGCCCTGGTAGATGATTGAACCACTAGGCAAACCAGGAATCGCCCAAACTACCAAACCCAGTGTTTCCCCAAACCAAGCAAAAAGGAGTTTAACCAAACCAACCACAAAAACACACAAACTGGACACCTTGGTCTTCCAAGGACCCGCGAAACCAGGGTTCTTTGATTTTGATCTTGGCTCCAAATGGAAACTCGGCCAAAGATCTGCTTTTCCAGGGTCCTGGAGGATCAAGGCTATGCATGTAGGAAACAGTAATGCTTAGGGCTGCTTGTGGGGGTGGATTTTTGGGCTGAAGCCTCGCTGGAAACTCTTTGCAATATTGTGCCAAAATTGTGCAATTTTGTGGGTCCTGGGGGGGACACCTGGAACAGTCATGATCAGCGCGTTGTTTTTTCGTCGCAACCCAAGGCGCGGCGGCTTCACAGAGCGAGGCCTCGGAGGAGATGAAGCGGTGCTCCGGGCTGACTTTGGACCTGCGGAGGGTTTCGGAGCAAGCCCGAGGTCGAGGATTTTCATTTGTGACTGGGGCCAACGACAACTTGGGAGGGACAATTAGAACAACGTCGCAATGAATATCTATATATATATATACATACAAAATATACGATTCATATATACTTTTCTGTATAATTTAGATAGAGTGTCAGAGAGCACAGGGTTCGTGAGGCTGATGGCATCAATCATGCGGCCTCCTAGTCCACATCTTCCGATTGCCCAACAAAGGAAACCAAGGCAAGAAAGGCAGCAAAACACAAATAAGAATGGGGCGACCAAATCCGAAATGATTTTCCAGGTGGATGATACTTTTTTCTGGCTGGCTATGTCTGAGTTTGTTGCATCCAACTCGCCCCATACTCCACCACCAACCTTACCATGTGCCACTAACCACTACCACCAACCACCACCCACCACCCACCACCCACCACCGGCCACCCAACACCGACCCTCTGTTTTGGATGGCGGATGATGGCGGCGTGCTACAACTTGCTAGAAGACTTGTATGGCTAGCTAAAACTGCTGCACGGTGCTTCACGGCTTTGGCGCGGGGCGATGCTTTAGTATGCTATAATTGTCTTGCAGGTGCCACCGTGCGATCCTCGAATTGCCCTGCAAAAGCCTTTCGCTCCGGGCTCCGGGTAATTCCTTTACATTCCTTTACACTCCTGCCTAACTTGTGACACAATTACTGCAAACATAAACTGCTAAATGACCTTGCGAGCACGCAGCAAAATTATGCAAGATTCCTTCCCAGGTTTCAGAAAACCCAAATTTCACAGAAAAAAACGACTCAGCAACAGGGCCGCCATTAAAAAAAAAACACTTCGCGGCAATCCCACATGTTCCCAGAGGATGCAAGCAATTGGAAGAATGGGATCATACCTGGAAGCTCCTTTCGGAGTTAATCTTGGCACCCACTGCGTTATAGTTCGTGAAGTAATGTAACTCATTGTAGGCACAAGCAATCGCAAACACATGCAAACGCATTTACATGCATTGATTTACGATCATGTGAACGGATTTCAATCATATGATGCGTCTCAAAGCATGACAAGAGATACGACGAACTGGCCATATATCGCAGTATGGAGATCGGTGCATCCCGGCGCGCCGGGTCCGGCCCCGGCGCGCCGGGTCTTCGATATGTGGGATCATTTGAGCGCCAGGCGCGCAAGGTAGGGGCTCTCCATATTGGCTCCTCTCCATATTGGCTTCTCTATGTCTCTTCAGCTGTGTGGGTGGATGCATGTAAACCTGCGCAGGAAGATCTTGGAGTGTGGAGACCTGGCGCGACAGCCCGGCCCTCAGAGGATCCCAGATCAGATAGCGAAGGCCCGGCGCGCCGGGCCCCGACCCGGCGCGCCGGGCCCCGACCAGGCGCGCCGGGATGCGCCGGGTATATATATATATATATACATATATATATAGATTGCAATGTACTGCCAGCTCGTCGTATCTCTCGTCATGCTTTGAGACGCGTCATATGAATCAAATCCATTCACATGAGCGTAGATCAATGTGTGCAAATGTGTTTGCAATTGTTTGCATATGTTTGTGATTGTTTGTGCCTACTGACTTACACGACTTCACGAGCTATAACGCAATATCACGCAGTATTACGCAGCTGGACGCATCTGTCCGCAAACCTAGCAGTCTGTCGAATCTGGGGGGCTCGGCGCGCCGGAGGGCCTCCGCAATCTTTTCATCTCTCTGCATCTCTCTACATCTCTCTGCATCTCTCCACGAACCTACCACTACCCCGAACCAGCAGTAGAGGTTGGTTGAATTGCCAGCGAGGAGCGATGCCTTGACTGAGGTCCCCAAACAGCAAAATTGTTTTTCTAACAGTACTGGACCGGCTCAAAGCAATAACTCCAATACCAACCTAAACAGTACCGAGCCAGTACACAAGAATACTAAACCATAGTACCAAACCAATAATTACTAAGCCAATTTACTACACATGTCTTACGGGAAGACTTCTTGGGCATGTATGTGTCTGTTATATTGACTTGTCCCCCCTCACAACAGAACCCTAGTTATCACCAAGCCATTTGGCGACAAAAAACGCCGCTTCCCCAAGGCTCAAGGCGCTTGAAAGCTTATTTGTTTCAGGCGATTCGGGGGCACCCGACTTTTGTTCTGTTCTGTAGTCTATTTTAGTAGGGGATCCCTCCCCAAAAAGAAAAATGGTGAGAAAGGGCACCTAGGTGGGGGGACCTAGTCTAGGTCCCCCCCCGATGGCGCGCGCCGGTGCATTGGCGCCGCGCGCCTGTGGAGCCACTTGGCCAGGCTCAGGCTGCAGCAGTCCACCCGCTCAGACACCGCGCGCAGGGCGTCCGCTGGGGTGATGGCGCCCCCCACCAGCGCGTGCTCGGCGGAAACATCCTCGCCTGCCGAAACCCCGTGGAGGTGGAGCCACCTCACTTCTTTTGGATACAAGACATGGAGCCAAAAGTCCAAAAGGCCCATGTGTTTCCAATTGACAAGATTTGTTTCCCATGATTTTGTGCTGGAATTGGAGCCACCTCGAAAGTGTTTGGTGGACATGAATCCTAAATCATACACCAAAAGGATCCCGAGACGTGTTTGACTCCCGTGAGCTGAAAATGGTTGGTGGTAGCAGCCAAGGCTCACAGGAACCCGCAGGAACCAAGCCCATGTTCCCCGAGACAAGCCCAAACCCCATAAAATTTCCCCGAGACAAGCTATCACGCCAGGTCTTGTCTGAAAGCCGGGCGAGGAGATAGGGGAGAAGGGTTGGATGCCATGAAAAAACCAGGCTACGAGCCCCTTGTGAGCCAAAGGGACAAAGAAACAAACATCACTCACTTTACCCCTGCACCCCTGCCCCCCCCTGTCCCCCACCCCAGTCAATCCCTTCAAGCGGAAGCAGGTTGAGCTGCAGCCAGCCCCCCCGAGGCCACGCCACCTTCAGTTTCCGCCAGGGCGGAAGGAACCGCGAGCACGCAGTTCTGCTTGGCGCTGTGGAGCGTGTCCAGGGCATCCCCCAGACTCACCGCCAAAAAGCCTCCGATTCTCACGAATTCCCCCACCCCCCGTTCGCTTTTGAGTGGTTCTCGAAAACGCAACTGTACGTCATGGCTTTCGCTCGTTTTCCTCCTCCTAGGAGGGAATGAGTTGGAATGGCCCTGAGCTGAATCGTGGTGATTTCCGCCGGGGGGTATCTGAAACATGCCCAACACCCCGAGGGTCGATTCGCTGAGAACCAGCAATATATGGGAGGAAGAGGCATGCGTGGTTTCTCTCTAAAACAAGTGGGCAAACAAAGGAACTGTGTGATTGCTGTTTAAACATTGATACACACTTAGACCTTGCTGGGGTCAAACATTTTAGGCGTTGGCCAAAAAACGAGTGTTTGGTCAAAAAACGCCGGCGGAAAATAAATGTGTTTCCGCCGTCAAAAATCTTAGCATGCTGGTCGGAAATGTTCGGCTGTGTCTCTTTTGAGGGATTCTTTATCTTGCGACGTGTTTCGTTGGGGAAACCAAAGAAAAGCAGCCCATTTTCGGGGCACGCCTATTTGCAGACAAACCCATTTAGCTTTTGGAATCATGCCTGGACCTGCCTGCATGCTCAAAATGCCAGCCTTTTCGCTACAAATTGCCTTTTGGGGCAACAGCGCGGCATTTTCGCACGTTGTTTTTTTTTCAGTTTGTAATAAGCGCTTCAGCTCCAACCAAATAGCAACCGAAATCAGCTCACCTGCCCAAAGGACCTGGAAGTAAAGGAGCAAAAGGGCGATCACCTTTTGGACGCAACACAGGAAAGCCAAAGAAAGAAACCATGTCGAACCGTTTTGCACCACCGGAAAACGACCTTTCACCACGTCCCCGAATTCTTGCATTTGCCGGTTGCACATGTGTCCGGGGCGCAGGTGGGCACGTCGGAGCGGAGCTTCATGGCTTTGGTCACCGGAAGCTTGGCCACCTCCGCCTAGCGAATTCATCGCTCGCTTTGGCGGCTTCTCGTTGGCGAGAGGTGTGGCAGTTTTGGAGTCACTGCAAAAATCGAGCGGATGGGCCAACACAAGTAGAACACACTTGTTAAGTTTGATGGGTGCGCCAAACAAGTCGAAAAAACAACTTGTTGTTTACCACTAAAATGGTCCAAACCCACACACACATACAGTCCAAACTCATGCAGCGAGTGGTTGAGGTTGCAACAGGCCAAGTTCAGAAGGCTTATAAGCTCCACGTGCCAACATTATGGTATAAGTTTTGGGCTTCCCGCATCCCTCGAAGTCCACCAAATCCTCTGGTACGCCTAGACGGTCAAAGCATTTGAGCCAAATTTGGTTTACAACTACATTTGCAACCGGTTACATGGAATGAGATCTCGCCAAAGGATCAGAACCACTTTGTAGTGCCATGAGTCCACTTGGTTCCAAGTCTCTCCGAGTCCACCAAATCAACACAAGACCCGTTGGGTTGGGTGCCACTAAACTCCATTTCTTTCCGGAGAAGTGCTGCAATGGCAATGGCCCGATCGGCCATTGGGGTATATGGTCCCTGGCAAAGGGACTTGGACATTTTGGACAAGTTTGGTCTTGCGGACCTGCAAGGGGGTGGTCCCCTTTGGCCTAACTAGCAATCCGGTCCCTCATGGTTCGACAGGTAACCCCTGGATCTGAATGGATGGGGAACCCGCCAAAAGAACACCCCACGTCGATTCACTCGCTGGTGTGGTGCTCAGGGAATGAGGGATTGAACCGAGGGATTCCCTTCGCGGACGCCATAGGGAATGGATAGGGGTCATTCCCTCATCCCCTTGCTGGGCACCAGCAAGTTCATAGGAAGCAACCTATGGGGATCCGGATCACTTGAAAAGTGAACGCCTCGAATCCCGAATCCACATGCTTAGACTGAGCGCAGCCCGGACATCCGATTTCCCACAACCAGGAAAGTGGGGGGGGGAACCACTGTCCACAGGAGGTCTCCTGGCGGAGAGTTTGTCTTTCAAACAGATCCCCAAAAACAGAAGAGCCTTTCCAACCGGAGGACCCATAACAAAAAAACTGATCACCTCTTCGGCCCCACAAGTAGGGCAAAACTGGGAAAGGAAAAGGTCGGCTGGTTGTGTCGCTCTGGGCATTTCAGGACTTGAATCGCCCTGGAAGACTGCTGTCGCTTTGAAAGGAGGGAGGAGGTATGGTGTGAACTTGTGAACTTCGCCCACTTGCCCAGCGATGCGAAAGGTAAAGAGCCCTCTTGGGGTCCACAACTATTCCAAGAGGAGAATCTTTGGGATTTCAGGTTGGAATCCGCTGAAGTAGATCCGAGGCACGCCAGAGTAGAAATGCGAATCCAGGGGATCAGGTTGCTGGGGAGCAACCAGCAAAATAAATTTGTCTAGATCCTCTCGTAGAGAGGTTAGAATAAGGGTACCAACTTTTTTCTGTAGTCTATTTTAGGGAACCCTCCCAAAAAGGAAACGGGTGAGAAAGGGCACCTGGCCCTTAAAAATGGGGTCATTACCCAAAATATTGGGGTCATCGACTCATTTTTAACGGGTCAGAAGGAGACGCCAGGTAGATGGAAAACGCTGGCTGAAAAAATCGGCCGCCGCGGGCCGCGGGCTGGGGGCCAGCTGATTTCCCAACACGCCTCCGGGCTCGCGGCCAACACGCGGGCGATGTCCAGGGCGGACAGCAGGCGGACGTGGGCGGAGTCCTCTTCCGCGTTGCAGACCAAGAGGTGGTGGCAGGCGAAGTCTCCTACGCGTCGTGGCCGTTGACCCGATCATGTGGCCGTGGGTAGGTGCACCACCCATGTTACTCTAGTTTACTGGGGATTCGGGTGTTCACTGGGGGTACGGGGTGTTGACCCATAGCCATATGGGTGTGACTGTTTGAGGGCGCCCTTTGGAAAAAAACTAGACGTCAGCGCGTAAAGCTGATGGGGCCCCCATGCCCCACAGCGATGGCTCGAGGCTCACTTCGCCCATCCTGGGCTTGTTGTGCTTTGGGCGGCGGTCTGGAGGGTTCTGTTCGCGGAGGTGGGGCTGTTGGCAGGGAATACTTCGGGGGTGCGGCAAAGACATCGCTGAAATGCCTGTTGTGTGTCTTGTGTTGAGGGGGGAGGGGAGGTTCTAAATATCTTCCAGCCAAGAAGTGGTTTGTGTTTTTTTTGGGGGGGGCGTCGTAGGAAACCCAAGAAGGGCAAAAGGGCGAAAATGTTTGTTAAGCCTAGAAATGGTACCACAAAACCAATGCATGCCTTATCCAAGAACAAGCAGTCAAACGCCAACGTGCTTGTAGAATGAGCAGTCACGCCTCCATCGGCTGGCCTAGGTCCCAGAAAGGCGCAGCTGACTCAAAACTTGCGGTTTGGAGTGGGTTGGTTAGGGCCACCTGCCAACCTAGTTTCAACAGAGGGTTCAAACCCCGCACCAATCCGAAATAACCGATTCAGGGCAAGCTGTCGCACTTGTTTTTGCCCCAGCAGACTTGTGTGAAATCTGTGGGGGGTATGCCTTGTTGGGGTTCCATGTTTGTTTGCAACGAACTTCAAGAGTCCTTCTGCCCCCATTTCAAACATCAGAACCAACAGGTGTTCATTTGGCAGGTCGAGCGTCAGCTTCGGCGGTGTTCCGGCGGGTTTCCCATTTACCGGCTACAAGAAATCCAAAACCCCCAGCCACCAATCCAAAGCACCAACCTGCCGAGTTCCCTGAAGGGTAGCTTTACCGATTAAGTTTTGGCGCACTAAGAGCAATGGGATGATTTATAGGGACCTCCCAAACGACTCGACTAGAATCTTAGGAGCCAATAGAGGACCAGTTCCAAGGTCACGCGCCAAGTGCTGGAAACAGCAAACAGGTGGATCCCCTTTCACTTGCCCTTGGGGTAAGTTAAGCATATGCTATTTGCGCGCAATGGTGTACATCATTTAGCCGGGGACTCATCGCTGCCAACCATTTTGGAGGTGGTTCCCACTCATAAAAACCATAGCCCTATGTACTATTGAGGGGACCCTGAAGGTTGGTTTAAAGGGAAACTAACAGTTAAGCAGTCAAGCCACAAGCATACCAACCCAAAAACCACTTTGGGCCCCAAACAAACTTTCCCCAACTGGCTGTGGCTCAAAAAATCGGTAACAAAATCAACCCTGGTAAGTGGAAACGTGGACCAAAACCTGCGGTTTGCCCCTCCGATCGTTTAATTTTGAGCCCCCCCCAAACCCCCCCAAAAAAAAAAACGAAAACGAGCGCTCCCCGCTCCGTGCGTCATGTCCGCCATGCGCGCGGCGGCTCCCACCAAAGGCATGTCCGGGCGCAGCGTGAGGGGCGAGACAAGGAAACTGGGCAGGCGGGCCTGAGGCTTGCAAGCCATTTGCTTTATTCGCCCGGAGATATTTCCTCTAGTGATGGATCCCCAGGAAAAAACCAACAGGGGAAAAGATGGAGCTCGGGGTTGGAAGTCTGGAAATCAACAATTCAACCCTGCATTGCCTGCCCAAAAAGTTTGAGTTGCAGGATAGTGATTGAAGATCCCTAAAGGGAGAGTTGAGTTGCAGGATAGTTGAGTTTCACTTTTGGATAGTGATGATGTCCCCCTAAAGTTAAACATTGAAGATCCAACCCAATGGCAGTCAAGGTCAACACACAGACACACACGAACCTCAAAGCCAGCACCTCCCCGTGAAAGTGAAAGTGAAGGAGCCAGCACTTTCCAAGGTTTGCCAAGCTCTTGCCAACTAACAGCACTTGGAATAAACGCAACTGACGGCCAAGCTTTCACATGACCCATCCCCTTTGAACCTCCTATTGGAGAAAACACTTGGGCTATTTGCAACTCATGCCGAGTCGCCGAGCCTCAACAAAAACAGCCAAACCAACTGGGGTCGGGAAAGACAGATCCTCAGAATTGCCCTCTTTATTGTGGCATGTTTCAGCCTAAAGGAACCCAAATCAACAACCCACGGTTGCTCTTGAAAGTTCCTGAGCAGAAGTGAAGGCCCTCGGCAACCAAAGAACCATGGAAAGGGGTCAACCGGTGAACCCCAAAATCGTGTAATCCGAAAAGGCTGCTTGCCGCACCTGTTTTTGGCCGGGACTGTCCCCCTTTCCACTTTGCTGTGATGCGGGACGAGGGCAAAACCACTTGGCCCACATCTGCATGCAGATGTGTTCTGCGGATCCTGTTTCATATTTAGTGCCTAACCTATAAGATGGATCGGAGACCCTGGGCCAGAAAGGGGAGAGAGGGAGGGGGAGAGGGAAAGAAGGGAAGAAGCGGACACGGGTAGAAGGGGGAGATGGGGAGAGGGGGAGAAGGGAGAGAAAGGGGCGAAGGGGACGAAGTTGACCAACCGCCCTGCACAAAAAGCTGACCAACCCAAAGCCATGGGCCCAACGGACCGAGCGAGCGAAGGCTTCGCATGCTTCGCCTCACCGCCGTGCAGCCATTCGCCCACCGTGCACTCGGAATTCACACCCTCCACGAAGGCCAACCTGCGGTATTCGCCCGGCGTCTTTTCGTCAAGCCAAGAACTCCATGTGACAGGGCCAGCACCCCACTGCTGTTTCAAGCATGTCCGAGAAAAAAAAAAAAAAGGAAAAAAAAAGAACAAACAAACAAGTAGGAGTGCCCAGAAAGCAGCTCTTGAGTCGGCCTGTGTCGTTCTGACTTTAGGGTCCCGAGTTCCGAAGCCAACTCAAAAGTTGCCCCTCCGAACTGGGAAAGCGCCAAGCAGCAGCATGTCGTTCTCGGTCAGCACGCCCAAGACCTGGGTTTCAGCCATCCACTTGCACACCGCCCAAACCCATTCTCTACAACTCTTGGTATGGTAGCAAAACACTCTGTTTTTTGAACACCCCCTATACCAAACATCAACAGAACCAACAAAAAAACTTGCCAAGAACGGTGAAGCATTGACTGTTGGTTCCGAGGGTGAAACCTTTCGTACAGGCCTTACTAGCTGATTTAACCAAACAAAAACTCGGCAGAACCACGAGCTGCTCGCGCGTGCCAAGCATACGCCACCCAAACCACCCGAACCCAGCTTGATCCATGCTAGCCTTCCCCACTTGGGTGTGTCTTCGGGACCCGTGCAGTGTTTGGGTGGGGTCAAGGTGCGATTACAAGTTGCATGTGGATCAAACCGTGGTGCGGCCGGGTAAAAAAGGCCCTCCTGTCCAGGACCTGGCGTGGGGTATGGGGTCGCTGCAAATGCGAGCGAGAACTCCAATGGCAGGGGCACCCGGCTTCTTCCGTGGCGCGCCGGGTATCCAATCCCCAAACCAAAGCAAGTAAGCTGCAGACCCTCTACTCGGTTTGACTAGTGGTTTTGGTTAGGGGGCAGTTTCCTCTGTAACCCCCTACACGAACCCAGGCTTCAAATCCAAAACCAAGTCACCAATCCAAACCACCAACTAAGGGTTACCCTCAGTTGCCCAAAGCACCCAGAAGTAAAAGGTTAACCTTTTGTAGCCATGACTAAAAAATAGCATCATAACATGGGAAAACCAGCTAAGGTCATTTCAGGTCGATTCGCTTTGGACAACTGAGTACCTGAAAACAACAACCCCCTCCCCCCCCCCGGCCCCCAGACCTTTCTTGAAGCGTTACCTCAAAGAAGAACCTCCTCCCCCTTACCTTAAGAAGGTGAGAAGCCCCAATTCCATTTATCTAGTATTCCCATAGCAGGGACAATGACACCACGAAAGGAGATCTCCAGGGGTCACCCCCCCTCCCCCCAATTCCATTAACTTCCATTTGGTTAAGACCCCTGAAAAAAAAAACAACAGTAGTAATAGATCCCAACTTAAAAACCGACAGGGGAAATACATACATATATATATATATATATTTAAACCAACAAAAATCGGCAAACGGAAGGAAGCTCAGGGCTTGGGACCGGATCGATCGATCCCCTGCCACCTTCTCTCCCCGTCGATCCGCGCTCTGCCGAGGCGCCGCCTTCTCCTCGTCCAAGATGACGGCGGCCGTGCGGCCCGTGGATTGCAACAAGTCGCTGGCCTCCAAAAACGTGTTCTCCACAGAGCAGGTGGCGGTGGGCCGGCTGGCCGACACCAACCCCACCTCGGCTTTTGGGCTTTTTCAGACACCCATGGCCCCCCCTTCGTGTTTTTTTTTTTGTGCTGTTTCCATTTGTTTTATCAATGTCAGACCGCAATAAGGCACCAACTTTCTTCTGGGAGATTTGTGGGTGCTGCCGCATAGATCCGCCACTCGCGATTCGTAAAATCATGATCCACATGAGGGATGGATTGACTCTGTTGCCATGATCAATTCAAGGTTGACATGACTCCCCTGCAATTTGATGTCAAAGCGTCTTGTTTTGAGGGGAAATAGCAATAGGTCTAAGGGTTGATTCCCCATTCTTTCGTCACACGCGCTCTCAGTGCAACGATCGGTCTTTCCAGCCGGTTTCGGCTCAGTTTTTGCTTTGTTCTGCAACGAGCACTGACGCATGCAGAAAGTTGTCCCGCGCGCTAGGGGTAGGGCCAATAGGCTAGACAACCCCTTCCCCTGACCTGCCAAAGTCATGCCGCTGCAGGCCATCGATCTTACTGGCAGCGTTCTGTTTTCAGGGGCATCGTTCTTTCCCTACAATCATCGTTCTTTCCCCAGGGCCATCGTTCTTTCCCCAACCATCGTTCTTTCCCCAACCATTGTTCTTTCCCCACAACCATCATTATTTCCCTTCTTTCACCACCCCATCATTCTGTCCCCCAGCATCGTTCTTTCAATCAAAGGTCAGTGTGTCTCTGTTATGTGTTTTTTCGCTTTTGCATCTGTTTTGGGTAAAAATTGGAAAGCCAGAAAGAATGGGGAAGTATTGTATGAGGCCATATTTTCGGTTAAAACCCATTCTTTCCAAGCATCCAATTTTCTAGGATTTCCGGCCTTTCCTCCCGAAAGTGATGACAACTGCTGCGTGGGCTGCTGCGTGGGCCCCCATTGAAGGAATGAGGAAGTGAATTGGAAGCTTGTGGAAAATTGGCTCGCGGGCACCACTTTGGTGGGTTGGCTGATGAGGGGCCCGCGGTGCCATCAGGAGGATGCTTCAATGCTTGCCGTGAAGCCACGGGCTTTATGTTTGTCAGTGTCGCCTTGGCAATGATTCATGACATGGATGTGGGCAAAACAACAAGGGCAAGGCTGACCGCCCCTGCTTGGGCGAGGCCGGGTGGGCTGCTGGGAGTCGGCAAAGGGAGAGAATGGGAACAGTTGAGTTTTAGCCTTGCTTGGGTGGACTGCTTCAATGGTAATTGTTGTTGCATCCATTTTGGGGGATAATTGGGTTAGCTCTTCAGAATGGGGTGGTGTGGCTTAGAATAGGCAATTGCTCTCACACATCAAGTTCTGTGGGGCTCATGTGAGTTTAGTTGAGCATGTGTGTTTTTGCGGGTACTTGTTTCGGGCTGGCTTGAACGGCAGCCAAAAGGAACACATTGGCCAGGCCACGTTCGTGTCAAGCTTCACGTCCTCCACGGTCATCGATGGATACGACGTTAGGTCCCCCCGCCAGCCGCCGGCTGCGGGCCGGGCTGGAAGGAGGGGGGGGTGCAGATCGTCTGCAAGCAAGTGCTGACATAAATAATATTTGTTGCTCATCCAAGATTGATCTACACCAAGTGCTTTGATCAATGGCGTCGCAAAATCTGAGAGGAGTATCCACAGGCCGGCTCTTCTGCCAAAGCTGAGCCATATCATGCGGCAAACCGTGAACAACGTCATGATATGCTCAACATACATTTGCAGGACGAGGCTCTTCAAACAATGTGCGTGAAGCTGCCACCTGAACCTATCACATCTTTACGCACATCCTTGGGCCACCAGTGCAGCATGGCAATTTGTGGGGCCCCATTTGCACCAGCACGCGTGCCCTTGAAACATCAGCGCAACCTGTGAGTTATGATCAAACGGAGCTGCGGAAGCCAAAGGAATTGGCCTTCATAGGGTGCCTTGTCTTCTTTGATTCGGCGAGCTCGTATCATGATGAGTAGACTTAGGCCCAGTTATAGAATGTATAGTCTATTGTTTGCCTCCCTTGGAGTCACTGGCGCAATGTAACATGTGTCCTAAGTCCACCCCAGTCATGGGCACAGACGCAGTTCAAAGACCTCGCTTTTTCCATGCGTGCAGCTACCAGGCCATTGCTTGGCAATGGCTTGCACATCCACCTGGAGGTCTTCTCCGCTCAGTGGCCTGCAGAGACCAGGCGGGGAGATGCGGGGAGAGAGGATCTTAGAGGAAGCCTTTCATCTCTACTTACCCCTTAAAACTCCAAGCCCTGGGGAAGTTAATCTTTTACAGACATATAGCCCATGTTACCGAAAAAGTTGAGAAAAGTTGTGTTTTTAAGAGGTAAGTCTATCTAGAACTAGCCCCCGGTGGTCGAGCACTCTCGATGGTCCTCTCTGTCGCATGTTGTGATTCAATTTCTCGCTTCCCAGGGCTTTCTCGCAGAAAGCGGCGGAAAGTGGTCACCGGGTTTCATTTGGTACATTCCAATGAGCTTGGCGCGCCTTGAAGGGGGTCAGCGAATTCGATCGTGGGATCCACTCGGTCTTTTTCGAGGCTGTTTGACCTCCATTTTGGTTGGGCTCACATTCGTTAAGCGGGTGTCAACAAAAGGAGGTGCCCCTGATTCCATGTTGTTTGCTGTTTTTCCCCGGACGGGGGTGTCCTTCTTTTGAAATCAACTATCCAAAAAGAGTGCTTCACGTTTTTCCCATAGAGATCTGGGATGCACCAGCACACGCAGAGTAAAGGCCTTGCTATGATCCATGACGCCAAGTAGGCTCGAGTCTGAACCAGCGGCTCGGTGCGTTTTTGCTCAGTGAATCAGGCCGTGAATGGACAAAGGCAGCTCGAAACAGGTAGATGCCTCATCCCAGTCATAGGGCCTTCCTTATCCCATCTGGTGCAGGATGTTGCCCTTCCGCGGTATGCAGGAATAGCTCACGTGGCTTGCTCAAACCTGGTGGTTTGGCCACCATTTCCCAAAAAACCCTTCGGAGTGTATGAACGTGCATGCCTTCGTGTTGATGAAGCAAACAGTCAGAACAGATTTTGTTATAAGATTACAATCAGAATCGCGCAAGTCCTGCATACTTGCAAAAGCACAAAGCCGCACATGTGAAATTGGGATACATACCTCTTGGGTTCGGACTGTGTTAGCCCATGATTCAAGCTCTCATGGTGACAACCAAAGATATGGCGAAAAAAAATCAAAGTTTGCGTTCTGGCCCTCCAAAAAAACACACCAAGCGAGAATGGTACACCCCACCCCACCCCATCCCCCCCCCAAAACAAAAACAAAAACAAAAAACGCAGCCACTTGCGGGAAGCTTCCTTTCCGCTTGCATGCCCCGCGCCTGCTGCCGCAGCCAAGGACTTCCGCAGCCTCTCGGATGCTTTCGGGAAACTGAGCCCCCGAGCTTCAAGCGGTACTTGTATCTAGTGTACATGATGGCAGATATGTTGGTATAGTTGTATGCAATCTTATGTAAGACACATGTGTATGTCCACTACCCATGTCTGTCAGGGATGTCCTTCCTCCTCCCTGCTGGCATTGAAACAAGTCAGAGACAGCATGGAACCCACCAAGGGCCATGTTCAGGGAGAGGGTTTGGGAGGGTATGGAGGCTATATACCACGTACAAGTGGAACATAACCTCCAAACCACATACACGTGGACAAAACCCCACTTTTAGAGGAAGGTCCAAGGGGCAATGTTCCAGCTCTCAGGTTCGGAAACATTAGTGGAATTTTGCACAGGACGCAAAACCCCAAAGGGCCCCAAAGAATTAGAGGCTATGAAAGAAACCATCTCTCCGAAGCTCTTGTCGCCAGCCTGCCCCATTGGTTCCCCGAAAAATATCCAAAAAAACAGAAAATGCCCAACATGATGTTCAAGTAGAGCATCCAAACACTATGGGATCCACCTCCCCCTGTTGCTCCAAATGCGGCCTCAATAAGTCAATGTTCGCAAAAGCTCAGAGGGATCAGGGGAAGGGTGTTGGAATCCTATCTTGAAAAAGAGGACAAGAGACCCTGGTACTGGTACGTCCAAGAAGCCATGCTTTCTTGACGGCAGACTGCGTCGCCATTTTCAGCTCCTGGCGAACGAAGTGCCTGTCTCAATTGGATCGGCTGGAAAAAATGCTGGGCGGGGGGGTTGGCAATGGTAGAAAGAGGGCACCATTTTGGGAAACCCCTCGAACAAAAATGCTATTTAAAGACATGCAACCAACTGGGTGTCTGGGTATCTGCATCCGCTTTGAGAACCTCAAGGTCTCATCTCGATTCGCGCTTGAAGCTTCGTCTGCCCGCAAACACAAAGACCCAAACCTCCATTGGCCAAGGGAATGAAAACGGACACCCAGCCTTAGTTGGTTCAGCTTGAAGGTAAACGGTATTTCAAGGGGCTGAACAATTACGCACCAGATTTTCCCATATTCAAAGAGTTTGAGCATCATTGGGGGGTGTCTGAAAGGAAACCTGAAGGACACCCAAGGCAAAAGGCTAAGAAGGTAAACTGAGTCATTACTCGCCCCAAGAGACAAGCACAAGAGAGGTCTGCGTCCTGTCCCCGGCGCCGGCCCGGGAACGCCTCCTGGCCACTTCGGTTCGACGGAACGCTCATTTGGGGATATGCCCTGGAGAAAATGACATGTGCCCACTCATCAATGCACATCAATTCACCTGACCTCCTGGAAGGCTTTTTCTGTTCCCCTGTCAGCTTCCATGTCATAAAATTGGGGTGGGAGGGTATTGCCAGTAGTGGTAAGTCTCCCCTTACACCAACAGGGGAAATTAACACAATCTTCCTAAGCCAATGAAAGGTTGGGACGGTGTTCCATTGTGAGACCTGCCTGTTCTTGATTGGACAAACAACTTGGTGCGCGGCTTGACATGCTTGGGCCTACTAGGAAAACCCGTTGCGTGTCGGGACAGACAATCCACATCCGAGGAGAGGCCTTGAGTTCAACTATCAGCCTCAATCCCGGCCATCACTGAAATTGCCGAACGGAAGGGCAATGAAAACATGAGTCAAAGAAGCCTGCAGTAAGTCACCTTCATGATAACTGAGTGGGTCTTTGCCCTCAAACAAGCAACAAACCAAGCATCTTTGGCAAGCTCAATGACCAATTGTTGCAGGCCGTATGGAAGGATCCCCTTCTGTATGGAAGACCACGTGTTTCCAAAAGATCTACCCTCCAGCCCACCAAACATGGAAAGATGCCAGAAGGCCCCTTTCGAATGAAGAGCTTTTGGCGCCTCCCCTCTCCCAAGTCGCCCGTCCTCCACCACCTCTCCTAGCGGGCTCTCAGGGGGGCTCTCTGGGAACTGCGGGAGCAGAGCTCTCCCTCGAAAAGCCAAGTGAGAAGCCGCCTGTCTGGTCACTCAAAAGGCCCAGTGGATTTCCATGGGAAAAAAAAGAATCGGCGTCCTTTTTGGGTTGGTTGACTTCCCCAAAAAAAGGAAAAAAGGGCACTGCTGGACAACTGGGTGTCTTCCATTGACTTTTGTCCCCTGGAACAACAATATGTCCAGTTGTGATAGATTCCTCTTAACACCAGAGGAAAATGACAAGTAGTCTGAAGCGAGTGGAAGTTGTTTGCTGGACATCATACTTCCTCGAGGTGACTCAGCTCATGAGCTGTACCTTGAATCAGACCGGGCAATCAGAACCTCCTCACTGAAGCCACTACCGCTGCACATCTCCTTGCAACTGCCTTTCAAAAGGATGTCGTTCTCTTTTCCTGCATTGTCTTGGACAAACGAACAAGCGGGGATACGGAGGGAGCGGGGATATGGCGGGATTCCCTTGGCGCCATGTCCCAAATCATTTTTAGTCAAGGTGCATCAAACAGGGGAATCCTCCCGTATGGTTCCCCCTGTATCCCTGCTAGTTGGTTTCCCTGAATTGTCTAAATCGCCATCTGCCTTTGTGGGTTTGCCATTTTATCTTGTGGCCGGGGTCGGCCTGCGTCCCCTTAAACCAACTGCGAACCTGCGAACGTGGGCACCCACGGCCCGGCAGGTGCCAAAGCAATGGCCCGGCCCCAAAGCCGGGGTGTTCCTCGAAACCTGGAGCCCAAGTTACCCTGCAATGCCTACAATACTTTATGAGGCTTTAGCTCGTCATACCCCGGAAGTTACAATACCCTCTGCCAGACGATTCCATGGAAGCTCCCGAACGGACCCCGAAATGGAAGACTTGGTTCCATTAGCAGAGGCCTTCTGGGAGCTTCCATGTTAGTCTGAGGGAGTGTACTACCAAAAACTGAATTAATCGAAACTCAAGGACCTTTATCATGGCTTTCGCTCGTAGTCCCGAATCGGTGAGCTCGCCAAAACATAGGCCGAAGTGATTCAACCCACGCGCATCCTTGCCCAAACGCCAGGCTTGTTTGGACAATTTTGAAGCGACCCAGAGCCCTCAAAGCCTGAACCCCGAGACCCTCTCTCCGCTCCCTGGCTCCTTCCTGGGTAGACACGTAGCACCGCAGCCGGTTCACCTAAGGGTCAGAAACCTAGGCTGCCCTTGCATTGCAAGTAGGGAAACAAGCCCAACCCTTTAACTTGCCACAAACAAAGCGACCTTAGGTCTACGGTTAGGTCTACGGCCTACTGATGTCTACTGTTACGGCTTTCTAGGGGCGTTCTTCTCGGATTCTCGCGATCCGTCTGAAACTTGGGCCATCCGTCCAAGTCGCCCCCATGGAGGCGTAGAAGTGCTCCGTCACCGTGTCCACCAAGTCATCGCCTCGGTCGCCGGGCCAACTTCGTTTGTTCCGAGGCCATGGCCCCCTCCGTTAGCTTGAGTCCCCCGAAAGAAATGTAGGTCCAGTAGCATCCAGTAGTGAAAGATCCCCGTAACAGCCAACAGGGGAAAGTCAAACATATTAAGCAAATGCAAGGTTCCCTTTTGGAATTTAAGGATCCTTACCAGGATGACCATCCCAGCCGAACCAGTCTTTTGACCATGGCATGGGAGTTTCTCGTCAGAGGGGTCGGATGGCTTTAAGGGGAAACCAAGAAGGAAACCAGCAGAAGGGGGCATCCATAGTGTGGATGGACAGCATCCACGCGAATCGATCAACACTAGTTGGGATGTGTGGTTGCCGGCCAGTATTCAAATCGGGCTTCATCCACTGTAGGGTGTATTCGGTTAACCTGCAGTGCACCAATATTTCAAAAGAGATGACAGCCACTGAGTGGGTTGCGATGGATTGCACGACTGGAATGGACCATACACTGGTTATTTAGACCAAGCCTCACATAAGGGCCCTAAGGATCACATGGCTCCACACTAAATCCACACAGTTTCCCAAGATTTCCCAAGATGTCCAAGAAAATTCATCCTATCAGGGCGCTCAACAGTTGGCGACGTGTCAACTTTGTGATGTTGAAGTCATCCTTAGATACCAGAAATGTGAGGAGAGGAGCCTCAGAAACCCAGGTCTGAACACATCTGAGGCAAGGCAAATGGAGGCTTTACGCTGGAAAGTTGGACCCCAAGGTGGAGGTTTACAAATTGCGAGCAAAAACCGACCATGCCATACTCAAGCACAAGAGCGTAAGCTTATAATCAACTGCAGGGTTCCCCGTCGTTGCCTACTTGCAATACATCAAAGCATGAAACAAAAACAAAAAACAAAAAAAAGACTGCAGGAGCACCAACACCTCAAGCCAGTTTCAATTCAGACTGAAGGCATGCTTGGAAGACATGTCAATGTGCCTTGTGATGCCAGGGTTTTTCAGGTATACGGTACACCCCACCAAAGGGACGCCTGTGCATTCCTAGATTCAGCCCCTCAAAAGGGGCTGGGGGGAGCCAAGAACATGAGGCGGAGCGGCTGTGGAGACTCATCGCAGGAGGCTTCTCCTTCTGGAAGTGGGTGTAGAACCATTGCAGAAACTCCTCGAAGTCCACACAGCCGCTACCTGGAAAAGCAATCGTACGCCAGAAGTTGAAACATATCCAGCCCAAATTGTCCACCCCCCTACAAAAAAGCACAAATGCAGTGGCCCATGCGTCAACCTTGACATGTAAAAAGAACGTCATTGGTTACTTGGCGCCCAAGCCCGTCAAAATTCAGAACGAATCCCACGAAAGCCGCGTCATGGGTTTTTGCGGCCTTGATTGAACGCCAGGCGGAGCTGCGAAATGTGAACCTTTCATTTTGGGCCACTGGAGCTGAAATCTGAACCCCATCCCGAAGTGGGCTGAAAGCTGGCCTCCTTCATTTCAGCTAGCCTCGAACCTCTAATTTGAGCTCGAATACAACCCCATGCCTATCCCTGCTCCGTGGAGAACACTTCACAAAAGGGCGCCCGAAGCCGCCGATCGGGAAGCACAGCCAAAGCGCCGTCTTTGTCAACAATGCTCCACAAGGCTCGCAGGTGGTTCTCTTGCAGCGACCTCAGCTCCAAGAGAAGCGACAAGAACAACAACGTGTTGCGCCGATGTGGGTTGGCAATTTGAAAGTTTTGTTGGTCCGAGTTCTCGGCATGATCTACAAAGGTGCCTTGATTTCCTAGGTCCTGCAGTAGAGAGGTTGGAATATGGGTACCAACTTTTTTCTGTTTCGTCTATTTTAGTAGGGACTTGCCCTCCCGCCCAAAGAAGAAACGGTCAAAGTTGGCACCTGGCTGGGGGACCGTTTCCATCGCTGGGCAGGAAATTTGTTCTCAAAATTGCAGAGACCTCCTCGAACGGTGGTCCCTTTGATTTCCCTTTGATTTCCACAAAACGACCAAGACCCTCCAAAAGAGTTTAAACCCAAATAAAGGCTTGGCCAATCCGGCTCCTTTTTGGGGCTTGCATTTGGCAAAAAAGCTAGGATTAGTAAATTAATGCACCCGGAAGAAAGACAAGCGCCCGCCACCCCTTCCCATGTTTTCTGAAGAACAAAAACAAGCAATTTATAGACGAAAACACAGAACGAGAAAGACAAGGAGAGGCGGCCAAGCCAATACCTGGCCCTTGGATCTTTATAAAATTGTTCTTCAGGGGGGGGCCTTTTACTAATCCCAGGACATTTTGGGCGAGCAGGGGGCAAACTCCGGGGGGTCACTAAACCCGCTGCATGATCATTTCGTTTCATCGTCCCATAGCGGAAAGTTTTCTCCCACTTGCCCCCTTCTTTTGGTAGCAATTGCTTGGTCTTTGGGGCGCGTCTGAGCGGCGGCCAGGTCTCCACTTCAGTATGAGCGGCTTAAACGAAGCCCTGCTTTTGCTCAGGGTTTTCTTAAAATAGGTGGACCCTCAAAATGCCGTGGGTTCCTGTTGGCCCCCCTTTCGACCATCCAAACAGGGTCCAGTTTGAGGAACCCCATGTGGGTCTCTCAAAGGACGCATTTGGGCCAGTCAAGCAATCACTTTTGCCACCTGATTTCGAGGATCGCCTCATATCACCTCATAAAGCAGGCAGTTTCTAAATATATCCCTTTAAGCCCTTTCCCGGAACGTCAAAGAGGTAAAAAAGTCAACCATTGGATGGTTCAAGTTTCACTGCTTGGTTGTGGACTTGCGTCCTTCAAGAACTGTGGTTCTTACCCATGTTTCCTCTTTCGCAGGCTACCCAGGCTATGGTCGTGAAACGCGGGGGGACCGAGCTCGAGAATTTCCGCCGAGCTTCACCTTCTGCACGTGGCGTGTAGTCAGTGACCTTACCACCTGGCAAGCGACAGCGGATCCACGGTGTCCTATTCGCTGATCATCCTATGAATGGATTCCTTGTTCTATTCCGTCTACAAATCTTACAACATGTCCAAAGCCTGAAATCAGGGATCCCCATGTGAAGGATCTTTACCAAGCTCGTTTTACCCCAGGTGAGCCCGCCAAATACCCTTCCGTGTGAGATTGGGAACTACTCATAGGTTCAGAGCCAACATTGAGCCCAGGGCCACGGAAGATGATCTAGGACCTTATGCTCAGCACCCTTGGAGAGTGGACACTGTGAAAAACAAAGACATGCGAGGTATGTTGTTTCTCTTTTTCTTAAGTGGACCCCCCCAAAAAAAAACAAATGGGGTTGTCCTGTTGGCGTCCCTGCCAAAAACGCCTCAACGGGTACCCGCAAAAAAACGAGCCATCCACATGAGCGTGCGCACCTGCACTGTGCTTAAGTGCCTCCGGTTTGCCTGTCTGTGACGCCTTCCATTCGCCTCGCATCGCTCTGAGCCAAAATGACGTGGGTTCAGTTGCCGGGATCGCCCCGGACAAACAACTCCCCCACCACAAGGATGCCCATGCCCCCCCCCAACTAATCATAATCATCATCATAACAAAAAACAAACCAGCAAAGATTGTCTCAAACAAGGGCACATCAGGACAAATGTGCAACCCTTGGAGGGTACAGGAAACCAGAACGTGGCTTCGTATTTGTTGCCTTCCAGGGCATGGGCTGTGAAGGCTCATGGGGGTCCATAGTAGAAACTCGATGCTCACGGGCACGGAACACTTCCCTCGCCAAACCAAGAGAAAACTCGTAATTACAGAAGTTGGGTCAAGAGATGCTCGGGAAATTGAGAGACCTTTGAAAGAAGGGACCCATGATAAGGCCAACCACTGAAGGTCTGGAATTTTGCCATGAGTGGTGCACCCTCCACCCCACCCCACCCCACCCCACCCCACCCCACCCCACCCCACCCCACCCCACCCCACCCCACCCCACCCCACCCCACCCCACCCCACCCCACCCCACCCCACCCCACCCCACCCCACCCCACCCCACCCCACCCCACCCCACCCCAGCCCAGCCCAGCCCAGCCCACCCCACCCCACCCCACCCCACCCCACCCCCGAAGGAGCCTGCTTGAAGTCCGCGTAGTTTAGAAAGCCTCTCCTTTCTGAGTCGAATCGTGCGAACCTCAGACGGAAGCCCATTGCCACTCACATCCGCGCACAGTTTCGGGATTTGCACCCGGTGGGGTTCCAGAACATCCAAACAGCACCGGCTTATGCGGAATTCTCTGAAGCTCGCTGAGTGATGCTTTTCACTGGCCCAGTCGTAGCCTTCAAGGGACCCCCAGTCGTGCCCCGAGGTCTGGGACTGGGTCGAACTGTCCCGGATCCCATTTGATCCAACGCCCGTGGGACTGATCTAAAATTGATGATACTTCAAAGCCCTGGACCCAAAGCCCGTGGAATCTAACAATCCAAAGGGAACAAGAGTTCTATCAGGATCTTTGGAACTGATTTGGACCAGCCAAAAAAGGGTTTTTGCCACAAACAAAAAGGGCTGCTCCCTGCTGGTCTCATTCTGATAGGGGGGTCAAGACCCCGGATCCCCCATAAATGCTACTTTTGGAATACGCCAATTCTAAACCATACTAAACCTGCCGAATTCGCGAGATTACAGCACGTTTGTTTAAACTCTGAATTATTTATATTTTGCTAATTTAGAACTGTCGGCTCTTTACTTGCAATCCTACATTTATATTGCGCCTTTTACTTTTGAGCTGCAAAAGAAAAAGACATTGAACGGTGGTTGTTCAGCATTGTTCCTCAGAAAATGCGACGGGGAGCCCGCTTGGACGTGACCGACGAAGAAAACTGGTCAACTCCTAACTACCCTATAAAGGGTTGGACCCCACCCAGAGAATGTTGTTGTACGTTTGTGTTGTGCAATGTATTTTTTCGGGGGGGGGGGGGATTATTTTTGACGGGATTTACGCATGAGATACGTTTCTATCTTCAACAAGGCAAGTTTACCCCACACTGAGGCAAAGAAAACAGGCTTCCCTCATGCCGCTGCTTACACAAATCATGAGGCCTACCCTTCCACCAGAATGCGAACGACTCGATACGCGCCAGGTCGGCAGGTATATCTGAGTGCATCTGACACCATGGCAAAAAACAACAAACAAAACACACCTTTCTAAGGCTCAACCCAAGCCTCTAGTGGTCACGGCAAACAAGGCCTGCCCTTTTCGGGGGACCCCTTCATAAAAAGGAAACCGGGCACCACTTCCAAGGCTTGGGATGGACAAGCTGCATACTATATGGAAGCCGACTGGGCTTGCTTTTGTGGGTTTGCCGGAAGATCACTTTCCTGCCGTCGCTCCCAAGCCCCCCGAGCGAATGGGTGGGATATTTGTTTCCACAGGTCCAAGGAGCGATTCAGCCCCACCAAAGACCCGCCAATTTGAAAGATGTTGCTGGCCCCAGCTTCTCATTACCAAAGTCACACTCTGATTGGTGGGGTAAAGGGAAACCAGCCCAGTTTCTTAATTTGATACCCACGAGAAACAGTCAAAATCATTGACCCGGGAGGGTGCGAAGGTTGATGCCGACCCCAAGTGCAAGCCCATCTCTGACATCCAAGCGGCTCTTTGCGGACCTTAGCTTGCTGCAACCTACGGGCCTTCCCTGTGAGCGGGCCCCTGCCACCTCATGTAAACACAGATCTCCGCAAAAGCGGCCCTTTGGGTAAGCTGACTGGACGTGATTTGCGTGGGCAAACATGTCATCCCGCCATTTGTGGCATTTGGGGTGCCTGTCCAACAGAGAAACTACACCAATGCTCTGCCTTTGTGGTTTGGTCATCTTCGGAAGGCTCGGGGCAACCCTGATCATACCCTGCCGCCCGCCAAGCCATGCGCGTTCAATAGAAGATGGACTTCTGGGCCTGGGAGCATTGGGAGCCTTTTGCTCCGTGGAAGGAGGGGTGCCTCATTGCACTGGCATGAAGAAAAAAAAACTAGTACGATTGCCCACCTGACAGGATCACAGGTCCTGCTGAAGCGAAGCTGGACACATCTTCTTCCAGGGCTGGCGCTATCACACGGCTCTGACCCACTTTGGTTTAGTCCGTTTACTTTCCAAAGGAAGTAGCCGGCAGGAAAAATCGCCAACCACATGGGATAGTTTAGTGGCCGCTCCCCGCAAAATTAGGGTCTGGACGATTTCATATAGTCCTTCTCCTTGGGAGGGGTTCAATGTACCTCAGACCTCTCTTTTCCCAACAGTCGGCGAATGAATGACTCATTGAAAGCCATGAGTTCTGGAGGAATCTCCTTCGGGTTAGCCCTGTCAGCGGGTTCCATGCCATCAAGGCAGGAACCACAAAAAACATCCCTCCTAATTTCCATCGGAGGGAACCCTCAAATGAAAATGAGATTTAACTCAGTTGTTCAGTGACCCTGGAGAAAAAGGGGAACCTTTTTTGGGGAAGACAATTTTTAGTGGGGCAGCCACAAAAAAAAGGGGAAAAAGGGTCCCACTGAACAACTGGAATCACGAATCAAGCTGAACCTCCCCAGGCCAAGTTTCGTTGGTGGTGTAGTCGATGGGGATCCCATACTTCCGCGCCATCTTGCGAGTCTCTGTCTCCACCTCGTCCAAAAGCAAGCGCTCGTTGAACATGACGGTGAGGGACAGCTTGCCTGCCGCTGCTGGGGCGAACCAGGCACACATTGCCCCATGTATGTGTATCTGTGTGCGCGCGCATGTGTGTTTGTGTGTATGTGTGTCTCTGTGTCTCTGTGTCTCTGTGTCTCTGTGTCTCTGTGTGTGTGGGTGTGGGTGTGGGTGTGGGTGCGGGTGCGGGTGTGGGTGTGGGTGCGGGTGCGGGTGCGGGTGCGGGCGCGGGCGCGGGCGCGGGCGCGGGCGTGCGCGCGTGCGCGTGCGTGTGCGTGCGTGCGTGCGCGGGCGGGCGGGCGGGCGTGTGCGGGCGTGCGCGCGCGCGCGCGCGGGCGCGCGCGCGCGGGCGTGCGTGCGGGCTGGCGTGCGGGCGTGCGTGCGTGCGGGCGGGCGGGCGGGCGGGCGGGCGGGCTGGCGGGCGGGCGGGCGGGCGGGTGGGTGTGTGTGTGTGTGTGTGTGTGTGCGTGTGTGTGTGTGTGTGTGTGTGTGTGTGTGTGTGTGTGTGTCTGTGTGTGGGTAAGTGTGTGTGTGTGGCGTGTTCGTGTTTGTGTTTGTGTTTGTGTTTGTGTTTGTGTTTGTGTTTGTGTGTGCGTTTGCGTTTGCGTTTGCGTTTGCGTTTGCGTTTGCGTGTGTGTGGTGTGGGTGGTGTGTGTGGTGTGTGTATGTGTCTATGTGTCTCTGTGTGTGAGAGTGGAGGGATGGTGGGTTGGGTGGCTGAATGGCTGGGCAGGTGGTGTGTGTATATGTTCATGTGTCTGTTGCTTTGAAATGTGTGCGCGTGTGTGTGTGTGTGCGCGCGCGGGTTTGTTGGGTGAGTTTTTAACGAACTCCAAAGAAGGTGATGTTCCGTCTGCTTCCTTCTGCTTTCCCGTCGGAAACTAACACACCCATGCTTCCTGTTAAAACATCGCACCTACCACCAGAAAGTGAAGGTGCCCTTCAAAGGCGCTTCTTGCTCCTCATCGAAGGTTTGAACCATGACTTCCCAATTAAAGGAAAAGCCAACAGAAAAAAGCCAATGCAGCGCCACTGGGTGTTGCTCATCTTGTACAGGCTCGGAGCAAACCTGAAGTCGCCCTCAGAGCAACACGTCCCGAACCTTAAAAGGGGATTGAAGACATCGTCTAGGTGGGGAATGCTGTCCACGAACCACGTGGGAGCATGTTTCCCGATTAAAATTCGTAGCCACATACCTGCAGTTGCTCGGGTGTACTGTGCATGCATAAAATCCTGAACCACTTGGGATGGCTGAAACCCCATCAAACCAATCTTGCACTGCCAAGATGTTGTCATGGGTGCAGAAGCATGATAATTCATCATTCTGGGGCGCATCTGTCTTTCCGTTTCATTCCCGCAAGGTTACAAGCGGGGATACGGAGGGAGCGGGGATATGGGGGGATTCCCTTGGCGCCATTTGCCATGTCAAACTTAGTCAAGGTGCATCAAACGGGGGAATCCTCCCGTATCCCTGGTTCCCCCTGTATCCCTGCAATTGTTGGTTTCCCTGAAAGGTTCCCTTAGGTTTTTTAGGACGTCCTCCGCTCGGAACAAGCCCAAGGCACGGCGCGGTGTAGTCAGCGGCCCGCCATAGACAGTCAATGGTTGCAGGAGCCGGATGTTGCCTAAGCCCAAAGTCAGACCGGTGACCCAAAAAAGATCCCATTCTCCCCATGAAATTCCCGGGGTCATTCCTTTGGGGGGTGTGGTTGCCTTGCCTTACTGGCCTCGAACTAGCCTTACAAATTGGCAACTGCCGAACAAATGTGGTGTGATTTCCCATTTTGGAAGGTGGGTTGAGGATCCCAAATAGAAAACTGGCCTTGGCGCAGATTGACTGAAGCAAAACACACGTGCTCGGCCCTCGTGGCTTTTATGCATCTTTAGGCCCTGCCACCGGCTGGGCCAAAATGGGGAACGGGAACTTGTCTGGACTTTGACACCTTGAACAAGGTGAAAGGTGCCTCTTGGTGGGGAAACTGCGAGTGTCTAAAAGGTAAAAGTGTCGAAGGTCACAAAGAAACTCAAGTTTGAACTAGAAAGCCCAGAATGGCAGGTGTTGAAATGAAGAATGGGTTGAAAAGACACGAGGAAAACTTCAATTAGATGAAATCAATATGTTTGATTCTCCCTGGTTGGTTTTATTGGGAATCGATTCTACTATATGTTGTATTTTCCCCTGTTGGTTTTAAAGGGAATCATGAAGCAAACGCTAGCTGTGCAACCCGTTCTGGTTTAGCTATCCTAGTCTAAGGGTTGCAAAGCCAAACCGGGCGATAGGTGCACAAATTTATGGCTCCAATTCAAATGAACTGTAGGCGGCCAAGTTGGCTGGTTTTATTCAGACCCCCGAGGGCTTGGGCGGATCCGATTAGACATACCACGCGTAAGATCTAGAACAATTACGGGTGTGACCGGGGAAAACTCTGGTCAATTTCCTATGAAGCAACATGTGTTCCACAGAAGTTCGCCACATTCACCAGCTAGGTCCTCCAGTAGAGAGGTTAGAATAAGGGTACCAACTTTTTTTTGTAGTCTATTTGAGTGGGGTCCCGAACCCTCCCCCCAAAAAAGAAACGGTAAAAGTTGGCATCTCGCTGGGGGACCTCGCCAAACCACGGTGGATTCCATCAGCCGAGAGCCGAGTCTTCGGAGTCGCATCGGGGCTCGGGAGCCAAGTTGCCGGTGGAGGACCAGGACTCGTGGAAGATGAGCTTCAAGAACCCTGCGGATGCATAGGTGGCCTTTTGGAAAAATAGATGGGTTCCCCGGGTCCAGTGGAACCCATCTATTTTTTTAAACAGGCTCACCTAAAAAGGACACCTATGTGGGGCGTGCAGGTGTTTTTGTTTGGTTCACGTGGGGCATAGAGCTGCAAAGAAATTTCTCACGAGGATTGGCCAAGAAGAAGGCTGTGGGTCAAAACCAATGGGATCCCATTTTGGGGGATTTGTGTACCACCCATTGTGGAACCTATTTTAGTGGGGATTGGGATGTTCACTGGGGGTACGGGCTTTTGACCTATGGCCATATGAATTTCAACCAACCTGTTTAGTGATAGGGGGGGGCGTAATGTGGGGTCAACAGCTATTATTGTTGATGTGCGCCACTGGTAAATGCGGTGGGGGGCGGGGGGGGGGGGGTTAAGGAAGATAGATCTGATTCAATCCAACCTCCGTGCCAGAAAAGGGATGCAAGGGAATCGTTTTCTGGAGCGTGCTAACTCGAAGGGTAATACTGTCAGCACCGGATTAATAGGTCAGCCACAAAAGTCAAAAACCTGCTAAAATGGGGGCACCGCCTACTAATCAACCAGTGGTTGCTAATCCACAATTTGCTTAATTCCCATCGAAAAGATCATAAATGTTAAGTTCCCCTTGAAATGTGTAAAGCCAACCGGGGGAACAACAACCTATTCAGCAGTGGATGAAACATGATGATCCATTCTCGCGAAGGAGCTCCTCACTCTCCCAAAGGAACTGGAAATAGAAGGTGATCACCTTTTGGGACCTTGACTAAACCTTGGTTGCTGTAACGACCCCTCTGCAAAAAGTTGACCACTTTTTGTGGGGTTTGATGGAAAACCCATTGATTTCCAAAAAAATCAAGTCTAAAGATCCATCCCAATGGCAATCAAGAAACATGGATATGGGAAAACCAACAGGTCCAAAAGGTTGATTCGCTTTGGACAACTGAGGTTCTGATCGAAGGCTGAGCTTTTTCGTCGGGTGGGGGGGGGAATGTTTCCCTGATTCAGAAAACGAAACTTCGCCACACAGCGAAGCGAGGCGGAGATGCAGGTCTGTGACTCCATCGGAAAAAGAAGAGCAAAGAGACTGAGAAAGAGTGGTGAGTTAGCATTTTTGCCTTGCGAGGTCGCTACAATTCACCAGAATTACTGACAACTAAGGGCCAAGCAGCAAATGCATTTGGCAAGTCACACTACTTCCAAAAACTGAAATGAGAGCTGGATCACCAAGTGAAAAACCTTCATCTTGAGGTCGCTGTACCCCCGAATCGGTTGAACCGCTCGCTGTACAGGTGGATCCACACGTGGTTTGCTCCGCCAAATGGCTTTACTTGGGGCGAAATGTCAAGGGAAACCACCAGTTGCGGGGATCGATCGATCGGGAGCCAGCACTGTTGAGAGCCTGGCAAAAAATCCTCCCCCTACGAGCAGCCTAGGGTTTTGTTTAATGCTGGGTCGACAGTTTGCCGCTCACTTCCTAAAATGGTCCTTCCAATTGTAGGACGCCCAGAAACTCAGTGAGTTCTAGGGGTTGATTCCCCATTCTTTTCAGCCATCGATCCTTCTTTTCAAAAACCGATCGCCATTTCCTCAGGTTTTTGGTGGTTTTCTAGAAAGATTCGGATCCCCGGACTTGGTTGCTGTAACGACCCCCCTGCAAAAAGTTGACAACTTTCTGGGGTTTAGTGGAAAACCCCTTGACTTCCCAAAAAGTTAAAGTCTAAAGATCCAACCCAATTAGTCGAGGAAAAGAAAGGAAATGAATACTAGGCTGGAATTAGAACCCCAGCAGAAAAATATCCTTTTTGCCTGGGTGTGGAAAAGAAAGGGACCCCAAAAAAGCAAAAAAGCAAAAAGGGGAGCTAATTCTGGAGAAGAATAGTGAGGGTTTCGACGGCACTGAATTGGGGGCCCAGGGGCTCGTCTGCGCGCCAGGGAAGTGAAGGCTGTGCTGGTGCTTGTCGCGGCCGTCGGGCCCTGACTTCAAGCTGGCCTGGGCGTTTTATCGGGGAAGCCGACGCCCGGTCGAAGAGGTTCTTAGCCCAAAGGGCCCAACAATTCTTGCTTGCCCCAAAAACGACCTGGAAATAAAAGGTTTCCCTTGTGGCGATCAAAACGACCAAAAAGGAGAAACCCAAAGATCCAACAGCTCTTCGCCCAAAGGGCCAAAACAACATGTTAGCCTTTTGGGGGCACAATTAAAATGGACCAAAAAGGGAGAAAACGAAACATGAAAAGGTCGATTCGCTTTGGTTGCAACTGAGAGTTCAGTGGCTTTGGGCAACTGCAGCTTCCGATCGGAACCCTCCCATGAGGTATCGATGGTTGCCACTGGTCCAAAAATAGAAAGGTTCGTGAACTCAGGAGGTCAGGCAAGGGGCAATAATGCAAATTCCTTGGGTTTGATGTTCCGAGAACTGCCAAACTTTGTGGCGTGGCGGGCGAACCATACGACCTGCAAAAAAAACTGCCATTGTTTCGCAGGCATTTTGCTCTTGACGCTTACCACTGCCTTGACTGTCAAAGGGTGCTGTGACCCCCAGGGTCTGCTTTGACGATTTTTTGGGTGTCTCCCTACCCTGTCTTTCCTCTACGTTGGCTATCCATCCACCCATGACCCCCTTTATATGATTCTAGGGCATTGACTTCCTGAATCAAAGTCCCAGAGCGAGCCAAACTAAACTTTAGCTGGCACACCTTGCCCCTAGTTGGTGGTTTGGTGTGGGGCCACCTTCCCCATTTGGCTTCAAAAGGAACTGGGGTTCAAATCCTAAACCACCAATCCAAACCACCAATCAGGGGTTACCAGATTCGCTGAGCTGACGGGCCAAAAAAAAAACGTTGCCAACAAAAGGTCTAAAGTTGGCCAAGGTGACCACAGGCAACGGAAACACAACGCAAATCAAAGCAGCAAGAAAAGGCCCATGCTCATTCTCCCTGCCATCTCGCTAGATTCTAAGCTGGGAATGATACTCTGCCACTTCAAGCTCGCCTCTCCACCGGATCCACTGCTTGTCTGCCCCAGCAAGAACGACCCAAGGGAAGGCAAACACATGCAAGATCAAAGACTTGGCCTCAGAATGCTGAAAGTCCGGCAATTCTGAGATGTCTGTTTCCTACCACAGCTGTTGCATGCTGTTGCCCGCAGCAGCACTTTGATCGTCTGATTAAGTCCCATAGCGAGTCATACTGTCAAAGCCTCACGTCCTGGGTGGATTGGCCCAAAAAAGTCCAAACTTTGTAGGTACCACCAAAAACGGTCTTCCCAAAAAAGATCAAAGGAACTCAGGGAGGGCCTCGCGGAACCACAGAAGGTTCAGTGCCTTGCTCTTGTTTCGTGGGAACTCCGAATCCCGGCAACCTTCACCCAGTGAGCCCGTTTTATCAAAGACCTACCCGATTGGCTCGTCATGTGCCCAAGTTGGTAAGTTTGTCAACTGGGTACAAATTTCAATTGGGGACCCGTTGGTGAACATTTAGGTGGGGATCCATGTCCACCAACTGCTTTTGAGATGGTTCCATCACCCTATTTGAAGGGGGGGGGGTGGTCCCCCAACTCCATTTAGCTAGTCTTGGAAATAGAACCATCACTGGAGATCTCCAGGCACGAAAACCCCCCTTCCCCAAATTCCTGCTTTAAGGGTGGGGATGTGGCTTGGCCCTGGCAGTAGGGAAACCAGGGCCCGCTATTTTCAACCAAATCAACAAGGACATCAATGCTTCCAACTCTTCCCTCCCACCAATCAATAGGAAACCTGACACATTTGGGTCCTGGTTTGGACCATTCTCCTTTTCCAGGAAAAAACAAAAGCCCCGAACGTCAGGTTCCATGTCAATTGGTGCGACCCTGGTTGCCAGCACCCAAGGGTTGTCAATTGGTACCCAAAATGGCTTAAACAAGGCAAACACAGACTGGGCTGCCCTCAGATCCCCTGCTGAAAGTTTCACTTTTGATAGGTTAAATAGAAACTACCACTAAACTAACTGAAAGCATCTAACAAGCTAAGGAACCAGATGGCTGGCTTCGCCACCAAGGGCTCCAGGAGGGCTCCGGGAGGGTCAAAATCAGAGCAATCTGCTGGCCAGTGGCTCTCTTGAGCACAGCCCACGTGCCCCTGGCCAACACTCCGAAGCCGATGGGCGTCACAGGCCGCTGTGCCTCGCGAGAGCAGTTGCTGGGGTCAGTGACCCATTCTTAAAGGGTCATGGAGACTCCAGGAATGAGATTTTGCAAACCCTCCTCCCCCAATTCCAGCACTAGGTTTTCCAGACTTGAGAGGTTAGAATAAGTTGGTGCCCGATTTTTTTCTGTAGTCTATTTTAGTGGGGGAACCTTCCCCAACTACTGTGGATGGTTGCGAAATCTGCTTCTCGCACCAGATGGAAACCATGGTAAACAATTGTGTTCATTGGTATTTACAGGGGAATCGAATCATGTCAGGGTTTCTTAGGTGGTGCCAAAATGGATTTCGTCCATCCACAGTAGGTCCTCCAGACTTGAGAGGTTAGAATAAGGGTGCCCGATGTTTTTTCCAGCAGTCTGTTTTAGTAGGGGAACCCTCCCCCAAAAAAGAAACGGTAAAAGTTGGCACTACTGAGGGACCTGGGGAATCTTTGGGTCGATTCCAATTGCCAAGGAAAAACCATCCCCGATTTGGCTTCCTTTAGGGGAATCGTTCAGTCCGCAAAGGGGCCGGAAATTGAACCAAACCAGGGAAACCAAAAGATTAAATGGTTGATTTGCAGTGGTTGCAACTGATACTTTGAGTGGGGAACCCACTTGGGTTCCATGTCTGCAGTTGAAACTGCAAAAGAAAGGGAAATCGGAAATCGAGGGGGACGCTGACGTCTCCTCCTTTTGCTGAAAGATGTGCTCGTCCACCACTTCCGCGATACCGCAAATGCCTCGCATCACCTTGGACACGCTTCACTTCTCGATTGTCAGTTTGGGACCTGGACAATTGTCACAATACCCCCCTAAGAAAACAAAGGGAAACCATTCCCACCAGGAGATTCCGATCCGAAAACATGTGGCCCTATAAGTTTCCATGTCTAGCCAGAGACCAAGGCGAAAGGTTGAAATGGTAAGCCTTCAATGCCACGTGCACCTTGGCCACCTGTCTTTTGGATGAAGCTTGATGAAACCTGGTTCAAAACCTCCTAGAATTGGAGGATTTACTGCCTTCATAACCACATTTTTATACCATGGTGAGAGTAGATGGAAACTTGGGTGCTCAAGATCCCCCAGCAAAAAGTTCCACTGAAATATGAAGGGAATCCAAAAAGTTCAATTCTAAAGATCCAACCCAATAGCGGTGGAGGAAATGATGGAACTCCATCTGAACACTCACTTGCCCAAAGGACCTGAAAATAAGAGGTGATCACCTTTCGGGCTCATGAAACTATAAACTAGAGCAGACTTCCGAAAAATTAAAAGGTCACTTTAGGTCCAACCTTTTGGGGTCATGAAAATAAAACTAGACCAGACTTCCGGAAAACTAAAAGTTGTCATTGGGTCATTTCAGGTCGATTGACCATGGTTAACCATTTGGGGTCATGAAAATAAAGAAACTAGACCAAACTTCCGGAAAACTAAAAGGTCATTTCAGGTCCATTCGCTTTGGGCTTTGGAAATAGGTCTTGAAGTCCCGGGCTCCGCGACCAGCCCGGGCGCGCCAGAGCCGCGCTCCGCGCGCCTCCCGGCTCCGAGTGGCAGTGACGCTCTTGGGGTCGTAGGGCGTCCCGGTGCAGCGGAGCTTCAGACAGCTCAGCTCCTCGGGGGCGTGTTTCGGAAAGCGGACTTGTTCGCACGCGGCGCGTTTTTTTTTCTCCCGGGTTCAAAAACATGTGTATATATATATATATATATATGAATGATATATATGGTACAGATTCGGAAAGCATTCCCCCACAGAGGGTATTCAAGAAAATGTAGATACCTCGAGTCTCCATGACCCTTTAAAAAATGGGTCAATGACCTATTTTTTGGATACTGACCCCATGTTGTTTGGGTCATGGAGACTCCAGGTATATGTATATATATATATGTAAATATATATATATATAAATATATGTGTGTGAATGAATGGCTGTTTATTCGTGTTTGAGGGGGTGCTGCATTGTTAAAGGGACATCCCTTTTGGCTTCTAATCCTTTAAGGTGATTGCAACAAGCACAGAAAGGGGCACCCTTTCTTACCTTTACAAGAGACCCATGTGTAGACAATATCTATATTGATATAAATAAGCCATTGATCTGATGTCAGTGGATAAAACTGCACATGTCCAGTGTTTTGTGCAAAAGCTACGGCGTGGGCAGCGAACGGGAAAATCCATCTATAAAGATGCACGCAATTGTATAAGCTTGCCCATGCTTGCCAACCATCTTCTTTTCAAAAAATAGGTCATTTATGGTCATTTGCTCGGTTGCTGGTTTGTTGAAAGAAACGCTGGAACAAAAAGAAGAGGAAGTTACACTCAAAAGTCCAACTGTTTGACTGCAGGCCCTATTTTTCGGTTTGGCAAACGCCGGCAAGAAACGCGGAAAGCGCGGCACCTTCAAAGGCGCAACATGCTGGAGCTGGGCTCTGACATTTTTCGGAAGCTTGTGGTTTCTCTTGCTTTCCCTTGAAGCCAACCTCAAAACAAAATGGGTGCGGAAAAAGGGCACAAGCAATACCTAAACTGTCAGGTAGCGTTAGGTCTGGATTTGTGTTTTCTTCGTTTGCTGTTTGGCAGCCAAAACCTGTCCGCCTGTTGGCTAAGGCGCAACCTCCGAGCCGAAGTCCAAGACGAGCAAATGCTCCGGCGACGCGTCCGTCTCCCATTGGTTCCCGCTGGCGAAGTCATCCTCCTGACAAAAATATTCGCTAGGAATGGAAAATGGACATCTTGGCTGGACAAGTTCGTTTGATTGGATCCAGTGAATGGAAGCCATAAGGGATGGTTCATATAGGGCTCGCGAATCGCATCAAGTTCATTGCGACCGGTGCAAAACAAACAAACTCGCAGCAATACAAACAAACCCAACAAGTTGAAAAACACATGGAGGCTGCCTCGACATGAGTCAAGTCGACGGAATCGAGCGTGTACTTGGCTATTGATCCCAACCCCCTCCCTAGTCCCCTCTCCACCTGGTCCTGAAGCAAACCTTGAGCCATGGGAAAAAGGCACCGGGTGGAGTTTACAGGGCCACAGGGCACCTTGCCAGTGCTCCGTTTTCACCATGATTGAACTTTACTGCACATGGGGACGACGCCAATCACACTCGCCAAGTTGTAATTAGGGAAACAAGCCAGGCAAAAAAAAGGGGATGCCGTGTTGTAGGGCCCTTGTACTCCACGGGCACAGACGGCCAAAATCGTGACCTCTTCTTAAATAACACGCAATCGGGAACAGAGTGAATATTTCTGTGGCCCATGCGTGCGATGGGCCAAACACCTTTAAGGTCATGAGTCGCGGCATTGCTTTCCTTAGGCCCTTAGAGCACTCGTCATGGGTTGTTTGTTGTTGTGTCAAGAAAATGCCAACGTGCAAAGCCAACTTCAGCGAAAACCCCAACCGCAGCCGGCCAAATGGCTACTTGGTCATAAGGGTTCCCTTGGTCCACAACCAAATGTCGATCATGGCTCATTGCCGCGGTCAAAGCTTCTGATGTCGGAGGGGTAGTGTTCTAACCATGGCTCACTTCCACATGCTGTCATGTTAAGTTTCCTGGAAGAAATAAGTAGGTTCCAGGAGTCATGGATTCCCATTAGTCAATTCCCATTAGTCATGGACCCGCTTTAAGCCCTTTAAATGGGGAAACCATGCCAGATTCCGAACCCAACGGGCCCAAAAGGAAGGAGCTTCTGACTCTTTTCCAGATTCAATCTATGTAAGAATCTACAAATAGTATGGGAGGAGACCTCAAAAAGCTGGCGTCCATGCACCCTAAAAGTATTCTAAAGCTCACTTCCGATCGAGTGGATTGGCCAAAAGTAGCAACAAAACTATTTTCTTAACACTAAACTTGGTTGCTGGTGACCCCCCTGCAAAAAGTTGATTTGGGGGATGAGTGGAAGACACAACTTTATTTCAACCAAACAATTACAGCCTAAAGATCCGTTACCCAATAGCAGTCAAGTAAAACTGCCAAACCTAAAGAGAGCCCGGAGCTGCAGGAGTGAGAACGGCCGTGTCCTGCTTTTCCAGGTTCTGCGCTGCAGAGCGGAAGCTCCGTTTTTGGGAGCTCCAGCCTCGCTCTTTTCCCCGGTTTGCATGTAGGAAACCAGAAAACCAGCCATTTTGGGGAGAGGCAGGGGGACGGCATTCCACCCATTCTGTAAGTAGGGGACAAGGAAATCCCAAAAAATCACCGCGATTTACCAGAATATGGGCTGATTATGCGTGGTTTACTTTGCAAACTTGCCGAGACGAATGTGCCCAAGGACCTTTGCCCCACCGCTTCTGAGGGGGAGCTCCTGATGCCTCTTCTGAGCACTCCTGTTTCACCAACCTACTCCTGAGCGCATGAGCGAACAACAAATCCGAAACTTTCTGAGTGCCACTACACATGGTCCAAGGCCAAAAAGCTTAAAGGCCAAGATCTCAGCAATGCATCCCTTGGACCTTTATGGGGCACGCGGCAGTGTGAAGACGCACCCGTGGGATGGGGATCGTCGCTTCACGAAAGGTGTGACGAGGCACTCCTCACATCTCGCTTCGAGCAGAAACAGTCGCAACCTGACTGGGCTGTTCAAGAAGGCTTGGCGGATCCTACTCCACAAAGGTTTTGCGTGTAAACCACGACAGGCTGCTTTGAACCATCTCCATTCGCCCGAAAATAAAAAACACACACAAAAAAAAAACTCGCAGGCAAATTGGCAAGCCGGGTTGCTGATCACTTTGAAGGGTAGCGCCGTCTTCCTTCCATGAGCCATGAACGTTCCAAGAAACCAATGCACAACATTCCATTGTGAATGTGCATGGAAAGCCATCCATGGCCCACTTGCAGGAAAACCAGTCACAAGAAATTCAACTCGAAATGAGCCAAACAGCCAAACACCAAGCTTGAAACAAGGCAACACCGGCACCTCTGACTCCAACTCTCGGGTTGACATAAATCGATGATTGAAAGCCAAGCATTGGGCTACTGGCAATGCCACGACCGGGAGGATAAGAAACGCCAAATTAAGCTAAAAAGGCTCGCAAAGAGGTAGCATGTCGAGCACCTGAAAGCTAAACATGATGTGTGGGGGGGGGGGGGGGGCAACGACTAAACCCACCAACCCAACAACCCAAACATGGTTGTCAGATCTGGTGGTTGGGGCCTTGCCTTTTGTGACACGAATGATGTTTACTCGAAAAAACATCTGCCAACATTTACCATTGCAATATTCCATTGGGTTGGTGTTGGGTTTACCTTATGACATCGACAAGTTTGTTGGTTTGTTGGGGGTTCGTTTTCGAACGAGAAAATGCAAACTCTCCTGCCAAACCGGTGCTGGGTTTATCGATCTTATATTTGTTCATGTTCATATTGAAAAACAACATCTAGATAAGGAATTGGATTGAACGAAAGGATCGACTTTCGAAATTCAGAAACGGTTGCATAAGGGCGACATTGTGTTCGGTATAGCCGTGCCCGCGGCTTCGGAGTATACTATTACGAATTGTTGCAATTTTGTTTCATGCATGTCATGTACACTGTATGTAAAATATATATATATATATATATATATATATATACAAATATTATGCGCGTGTGTTCTGTTGCAAAGCAATATCAAACTACGAAATCGGGCTAGTTGGGCGCCTTTTCTCGGCATGTACTCAACCCGAGCATCCGATAAATGTCGAGACAAAAAACAATATTATTAAGCATGCCAGCAAGCATATAATAATAATAATAATGTTCATTCACTAATACTAACTCAAATCAATCAGGCAAATATTAATTTCAAATCAATACAAAGCCACCAAACATGCTCGACACTTCATGCACTTTACTCGCCGAACATTATTTTGGGGGAGATCAACTAACACATGGTCACACAGCTGCAAAGGACGCCGGTTTGCCAAAGTAGCCGTGTGAAAGCTTGCCGCGCAAGCCACGTTTGGGGCCGATTTCGCACGAACCAGTTGGAGCGGCTCCAAGAAAAGTCAGCCAAGCTGCAGGCTCGAGTCACAGGTTCAAACCAAGCATTGCACAATTCAAGCAGAAACCCGGTAACTTGTCATGACACTGGCTTCTGACCGGAAAACTGATAACATGTTCAACCCTCAAGGGCTTAAATCGTCTATGAAAACATGACACAAATAATTCAAAGCCACGGTCAATTAAATATGCTCCTGCAAGAGGACATGGAAAAACAAATGGTAAATTTTCTGTGACTTTAGGCCGTAGGCTGCCCCTTCACGACCTACTCACTAACATGGAACCTAACAGGAGGTCCCGAAAAGTCAATTTTGGTCAAGGGACCTTGTTGCGGGTTTCATGTTCATTGATGAAAGTGGATATCTAGACACCTCAAACAAAAATGCCCATGGCTTCCCCTTCAAATCAGATTGGCCCTGGCGCACCCCATTGTGCAAGAAAAGACACTCGATTTCCTCGTTCCCTTGCTTGCAAATTGGGTGCTCAAAAAATCATCGGATCCCCTTTTGGTATTCAACTGACTGCCAAAAGGAAACAAACCATGTTAGGGGTACCCCTGTCTGGGTTTCTCTTCCCCTGAGCAAACGGTTTAATTCGCCTTTTGCGGTTACATGACTGAAAACGGCAATTTTCCCGAAGGACCCAAGGGCTTAAGATCACACCAAAACCACCAGCCACCAGCCCATATGTACCATGGTCAAAAGTCCTCGTATGACCTGTGGTCATGGTTCCCTTCATCGGAACCTGGCTGCCCAGTAAATGACTATCCCTTTTAACCCCGAGTCAAGGGGTGTTTCGACCCTGGCACATGTGGCAGTGGTTGGCTTGCGGCGAGCGTCTTGGGCTTCTTGGCCGTCTCAGTGCCCTTCGCCTCGGCCCCGAAGACCACCTTGCCCTTCCGCGAGCCTGGCAAGGGCCCGGGTCTCGGCCGCGTGTTGGTTTGTTGGCTTCACCATGGAAACAGACTTTTGGAATGGCCATCCTGGCAAAGAAACGGGGGCACCATGGTGCCACTCAACCGGGATGCTGAAATGGGACTTGCTTGGGAACAGGCCAGGTGAAGGTCTAAAAGACAAAATAAGCCAAGTTTCCAGTTCAGATGCTAGCTCGCCTATGCCACATGAACACATGGAGGTCTGCAAAACCCTCCTGAAGTCCAAGTCAACAAACTGTCTTGCCCATTGGCCACAGAAAAAGCTCCTCTTTTTCTGCCATCTCACTTGACAACCCGGAAATCAAAGCTATTGATGGTGGGTATTTACCACCCTATGTTAAATATCTCAGCTTCCCACAAATTGAGTTCTTAGATTCGTTGGTGGTTCGGGCCGGTTTCCAATTTATCTACAAGAAGCAGGCGGTTCAAATCCAAATCCAAACCACCAATCCAAGCCAACCTATTGAGGGTAACCTGCATACCTCAGGAGCGGGGACCAAACAAAAAGCGCCCGTCGGGTTCCCCTCATCGCACGACCCCGCCTGACTTCTTGGGCTTGGTAAAGCTCATGCCCTTGCGCATATCTGTCCTGGCCACAAGGCAAGGTGTCATCCGCCCCGGTGTGTGTGTGTGTGTTAGTTTTTTTTGTTTTGTGTGTTTGTTTGTTTGATTGTTTGCTTCAGAAGGGTTGTGCACTTCTTTCCGGGGTGAGGGATGGGTGTCTCCCGCTGTTCAATTGAAACCGGGGCTTCAGGCCGCGTGGACTCAAAGACCACACCGGGCAAGAAGCCGCCGATTCGGGCGAGAAGCAAAGTCTGATTCGGGTGGCCAAGTGGCAGGTGACCGAAGAGTGAAATTATGAGGTGCCCCTCTTTTCACAGGCCTTGGAACGCTCCCTATATTTCCCCTTAAAACATCACCCCCACCAAGGGCTACTCACCTTTCATGGACCAAAAAGGTGATGTTTAAAACCATCAAAAAGGGAAATATAGGGATCCCTGTGGAAGGTGGAGCCGTCTTTGCAAGTCGCACTTGCGCGCCAAAACTTCTAAGCTGGAGCCCAGCAGTCTGCGATTCGAAATGTCCTTGGTAGCGTGCGCGAGCCTTCAAGACCTAGGAGCGAATGCGACTCAGACTCACCCACTCGCCCCAGGAACCCCCGGTCGCTTCCTGGTTGTGATGTTCTCGCTGGATTCACATCCCTTTCTGATAATCTTGTAACTTGGAATAGGGCTCCCTGATCGCAGACGGGCGGCCCCGCATCCATTCAGTTTTCCAGAAAGAACGGCTATCTTAAGGGGGAGGGGAGTGGGGGTCCCACAATTCCATTTATTCAGTCTTCCCCACAAAAGGTTGAAAATGGGTTGCCCTAAATTGAGATCTCCAGGGGTCGAAATCCCCCCTACCCCAATCAACCATCTTAAGGGGGGGTGGGGATCTGGCCGGGTCAATGGCCCGGCCAGAAATGAGGACAGCGGGCATCTCTTTTCTAGGCTGGAAAAATCCGACCCCTGCAAAAAACATGTTCTCTTTTTGCCCGGTTAGTGAAAAACAAAGGGACCCCAAAAAAGCCAAAAAAAAAGAACAAAAGGGGAGCTAATTCTGGGGAAGTTGTCTTGCGAAGTGTTAGCTTTGAAGGGAATCCCACCACACAGCATGCAAAGCGCTGGCAAAACTCCCGGCAACCCTGCGATTCCTTTGCCCGAAGCCGATACCAAGATGGTTAGACAGGCTCCCACAAGCTGGAAATCCTTGAGGAAGCCGAGTTTCCAGCTGCCCTGCCGCAAGGGTAAAGCCAAAAGAAGCTGCTAAACAACCCGCTAGAAACACGTGGGTGTGGCTCAAATTTCAGAGAAAGGGTTGGGCAGGTTTTGGTCTTTGTTTCCATTTACCAAGGGGGGGTACATCTTTTTGAGCGACAGCCACATCGTAAGGAGACCAACTTTCAGTTGGGCCATAAAGCCTAGCAGTTTCTGCCTCTGAAAGCAAATAGCCTCCCGGCCAAAACAACAGTCTTTGCTCGAGCAGAGGGAACCAACGATACCCGGCTTGAGGGCCTAAGGAAGATGCAGGATGGATCAACACTTGGCCCAAAGGAACAACAAGGTCCACCTGCAGCAACTGCGGGAGCCGAACATGCCGGGTCAATCTGAGTCTGGGTCGTCAATCTGATTCCTACCATGTCCAACCAAAACTCAAAGATCACAGAAAGAAACTCACCTAAACTAGGTCCTCCAGTAGAGAGCATACAATAAGGGTACCCTTTTTTTCTGTAGTCTATTTTAGTAGGGGAACCTTAGTAGCCCCAAAACGCACCACGCGCAACGCGCGTTCTGGAACGTCTGCCAAAACGCGCGTTCTGGAACGTGGCTGTGTGGTCAGCAGGCGCAAGGCCCCAATGCTTTTTGCAGGCTCCGGAAAAAGCATGCAGCCCCTTACACTGTGCGGCCGCCAGCCAAGTTTCGAAACGGAGGCGGGTTCACCGCAACTACGTGGTTGGCAGGAAAGGCGCAAATGCTTTTTGCAGGCTCCGGAAAAAGCATGCAGCCCCATCTTACACACACACACACACACACCTGCGCGGGGGCCAGCTAAGTTTCGAAATGTAGGCGGGTTCACCGTAACTACGTGATCGGCAGACACAAGGCCCGAACGCGTTTGAAACATAAGAGGGTTCACCGTGACTACGTGGCCAGCGAGCGCAATGACCGAGTGCAGGGTCCGGCTAAGTTTGGAAACGTAAGCGGGTCCGCCGTGACTACGCGGTCAGCAGGCGCAAGGCCCGAGTGCTTTTTGCAGGCTCCGGAAAAAGCATGCAGCCCCATCTTACAGGCCAGACAAATGTTGCAGCCACACCAAAGGACTCGAATGCGTTTTTCGGGGCTGGGAAAAAGCACTCAAACCAACATTTAGCATAAGGGCAAGCAAACAACTCGGGGGCCTCTGGAAGACCGCGAAGCATACACATGCGTTTTTCGGGGCTGGGAAAAAGCATTCAAAACAACATTGTGCATCCAGAGAGCCTGAGGGCAAGCAAACAACTCGGGGGCCTCTGGGCGACCCGCGAAGCACACACATGCTTTTTTCAGGGCTGGGAAAAAGTATTCAAACCAACATTGTGCATCTAGAGAGCCTGAGGGCAAGCAAACAACTCGGGGGCCTCTGGGCGACCACGAAGCATACAAATGCGTTTTTCGGGGCTGGGAAAAAGCACTCAAACCAACATTGTGCATCCAGAGAGCCTGAGGGCAAGCAAAGAACTCGGGGGCCTCTGGGCGACCACGAAGCATACAAATGCGTTTCTCGGGCCTGGGAAAAAGCACTCAAACCAACATTGTGCATCTGGAGAGCCTGAGGGCAAGCAAAGAACTCGGGGGCCTCTGGGCGACCGCGAAGCATACAAATGCGTTTTTCGGGGCTGGGAAAAAGCACTCAAACACACATTTAGCATCTGGAGAGCCTGGCCCTCCAGGGCAAAAAAGGCATCTAAGTTGCCGATACGTGAAAGACTGCCGCGTTCCCCTGTGGAGCTTCTTAGGTTGTCCAGTAGACATTTGCTTTTAATGCAGGGCAAGAAAAGAATCTAAGTTGCCGGACGTGCAAACGACTGCCCCGTAGAGCTTTTAGGAAGTTGGCCAGTAGGGCCACATATGCTTTTATTCCAGGGTAAAAAAAGCATCTAAGTCGCCCAGCAATCGCCAGACTGCCGTATTCCACAAAACGCGCTCAACGGGAGTTCTGAAACGCGCGTTTTGGCAACGCGCGTTGCCAACGTCAAAACGTACGGTGTGAGGTCACTAAGAGGGGAACCCTCCCCCAACAAAGGGTAAAAATTGCCTACTGGGACCTAGTAAAATACTTACTTCCTAAGTGAGTGTGTTGGCCAAAACAAGACCAGACTTTCATTTACTAAACCCCGAGATTCAGCACCAAGGTCGGAACCATAGAAATAGCCCGCCCCTATAGCCTCCCACCAACTTTGATAGAAAACCTGGTCCCAGCCACCCCCCAGTCAAGTTCCAAGTTCGTGGGGGGCCCTGATGTCTCACTGGAATGGATTGGTCAGACAAATTCCACACTTGTTGCTGACCACGAAATTCATCTTACCTAGCCCAGTGGCCATTGAGAAAAAAACGGGCACCGGCCATTGGACACCTCCCGAAAAACAAAAAAAAAGAGTTCGACAACTCGTTGGCACGTTTTTGGGTGGACATGTTGCTTAAAGTCCAGAAGCCGAAGTCTTCAAACAACTCCCCCGACAGGTCGACAAGTGGGGATCACTTTGGCCAAGGCTCCGGAGGTCGAAACCTCAAGCCTGGCCTTGTTGAGCTTTCCTTGGATCTCGTGACATGGACGAAATCCGCTTCTCGCACCACCGTTCAAGAACCCAACCGAATGCTGATTCTCCTCGAAATAAGCAATGGTTTCGCATGGTTTCAACGTGGCGCAGGATTAGATTCTGATCGGGGTCTGTAGAACCTTTCCGGATAGTCCCCATAAAGTCCTGTCCCTGACTGATCACGCTCTACTCCGAGCAAACATGAAGAAAACGTGGTTCTGGAGCCATCTGCTTTTTCGGGTACCCGCTGTCCGGGTGTCATGCTATGTCATGCTGTTTTTACTCTAACTTTCCAATGTAACTGTCTGCTCTTTTCAGGCGCTACCACAAAAGTAGACCTGAATGACGCCCAGCTTCGCTTTGCGACGTCCTGGAGAGCATGGGCCATCCCCATACATAACACTCGGGGGGGGGGGGGGGGGGCGAAAGGCACAAAGGATAGCCCTAAGCAAACACAACTTTTAACCCTACAACAGCCACAGGAAGCCAAAGAATCTATGAAAAAGCCGTTGGACTTTCTGCAGGTTCATACATGAACCAGCGACATCTTAGAACAATCATGAACATGTTTCTTTGGGGGAGGGCCTCATTTTGGTTTCCACGTTATCATATGTCAAAATAGGAGGAGTCGGACCAGCCAAAAAGGGCTCCTTTCACTGGGCGAATTGTGCTAAAACAAAGCAAATATAACAGGTTTCGTGGTATCACAGAACTGGGAACCAACGGTTCTGTTGTTGCCACAGATCTTTAAAGTGGTCCCTTACCTGCTGATGGCAAGCATGTAAGCTTGATCTCCTTCAACACATGTATGCAGGGGGTCGGTCTGAAAGATTTGTCCGAACACTCAACGCCTCGCCAATCTAGACAATTCTCGTAAAACAATCGGTCATCCTTCCCATGAAGGGGAGACCTGCCCCTTTGCTTGACGCATCCATTCCATACCTCCCTACGGCAAAGAACAATGGACCAACATCTTTGACGTCTGCGCAAGACCTCTAAGCAGTCAACCACACACATATGTATATATATATATACATATACACATGTGCATACCTTGCTAAAGGCATAACGCTCCGCGCTCCTACGTACTAGAAGAGAACACCTCCTTGTGCTCTGGCACCAAAGCCCCATCTGGGGCGGGGCTTTAGATACACAGTGGCTCGCGAAGGTAAAGCAAATCCTCGCAACCCTGGATGTTGACAACCTTACAGAAACACAAGCTATGAAACATGTCGAACAAGCAGCTACTAAACAAGCTAGGCAAAGAACCAATGCAAACCCGATGGTCAAGAACCACGCAAGTGAACACATTGGATTTGAGAACGAAGCACATGTTTTTTAAGGGGAACCCTCCCCTAAAAAAGGAACACAAACCATTCCCATGGTTGTCAGGGGGCCGCCAGAGATTCCCTATTTGGTGGGGGGGCCTTGCCAACCATAGAAAACTCGAGCAGCTCAAATTCTCAGAGGTCCTGTGCCTGTGCGGTTTCGGTGCTCTGGACTTGCCTAGGCCAGGGGATGGTTTCCCAGGCAGCGGTGAATTTCAGTCTGTTGTTCCCCCCTGCTTGTTTTGTCGCTGCATCATGGGGGGTCCTTAGAATCGTTTTCAATCAATCAACAATTGCAGCTTTAGGGTCAATTTGGTGTCCAGGTGCGGGATGATGCAGGATGTATGATCAAGCAGTCACGGCGAAAAACAACTGTTGCAAGCCCTGAGTTGTTTGGCCTGACGGATGCTCCTTTTGTAGCCCCCTGGTCCGCATTATGGCATCCCTCGCCTCGGTCAAACTCGCCAAGCCCGCGTCTTCTCAGCGCTTGGGCACCGATGCTGCAGGCATGCTTTCCCCCCTCCCCCTCCCTACCTCCCTCTCCCTCTCCCTCCCTCCCTCCCTCCCTCCCTCCCTCCCTCTCTACCCCTTCCTCATCCCTCCCTCCCTCCCTCTCCTTCCCTCCACCTCCCTCCCTCCCTCCTCCCTCCCTCCCTCCCTACCTCCCTGCCCCTCCCTCCCTCCCTCTCTTCCCTCCCTTCCTTCCCTTTCCTTCCCCTCCTTTCTCCTGAGCCAAGACTTGATTGGGCTTGATGGGAATCCCTCAGCATCTGCCCCTTTCAAGGGGCGGTGTTTTCCTGAGCCCCAAAGCCGCAAGAAAGACTCCTCTTTGCCGGCACAAGCCATTTTTTCTGGAGGTTGCATTAGGGTTCCTTGAAGGGGACATCCAAAAAATATCTACTTTTAGGATTCAGAGCCCTGCATCCTTTCCGGGAAAGGAAGGCAACGCAGCTTTGTCGTCTCACTCGCAGCAAAGGCGCTTCGAGGTAATCAGCAAGCTCGTGCCCTTCCTTGACATCCGTGAAGAGCCAGCACCTAGACATCGACGTGGAGAACTCGTTGGGCCACCCGCCTCCCGGTAAGGGATCTTAGAACTTGCCTTAGGGTTCTCTCACTTGCCCCTTTGGGACCTCGAGCTAAACAAATAAACCTTTGGGGCTCATGACTCATGACCAATGGGAAACAAAATGGGAAAACCAACAGGTCATTTCAGGCCGATTCGGATTGAACAAGCGAATTCTTCGACGGGTTCTTGGACTCAGAACCATTTTGGGCGCTCGGGGCAAAGAATTTGCTTGGCCGCTATACGTGGAAAATGGATGGAGAGCTACTGATGTCAGCGCCCGCCCCTAAAAATTATGGGAAGGGGGTTGAACAAATGGCGCCTGAAACACTCTCAATCTAAATGTCAACTATTGGGATCTTGACTACCAAGGCGGATAGCATGGAAAACAAAAGTGTTTAAGGATGCCATGGCCTTTGAGTTTAGGCCTCTGATCCTAAACACCTCTTCACCCCCACTCCCCCCCCCCAACTCAAACCCCCCCGTTCCCCTACTCAAACCCTCCCAGATTCCCCCTAAACTTCCCCCCATCCCCCCACCCAAATACCGCAGGGGCGCTGGAGGTGGAGAAGGCCGGCGAAACATGCCGGGACATGGGCTCGGATGGCTTCATGAGCTCGCTCACGGCCTCTGACTCCGCCTCCTGACACCCCCCGCCCGCGGCTCAGAGAAAAGGAAAACCTGGATTCTCCTTCTGACCCTGAAAAGTGGTTTGTAATTACCCAAAATAAAGGGGTCATTGACGCATTTTTAAAGGGTCATGGAGACTCCAGGAATGAGATTTTGCAGGGGCCACCCTCCTCTCCTAATTCCAGCACTAGTTCCTCCAGTAGAGAGGTTAGAATAACGGTGCCCTTTTTTCTGTGGTCTATTTTAGCAGGGGAACCCTCCGCAAGAAAGGGTGAAAGGGCACTACTGGGGAACCTAGATGATTAAAGGGGGCAGGGATATCCCAAGCGCGGCTCGGAGCTCTGCAGCCAGTCGGATAGTCGGCCAGAAGGAGAGGCGCGATATCGCAGGATTCTCTTTCTTTTCAATAAGGGATTTTGGGGGAAAAGCTCGCCCGTCGGAAAAGCCCAAGTATTGCCGAAACATCCTTTTGCAGGTTTTGCGTTGGGGAAGGAAGTGTTTGCCTCTGTAAGCCAATGCTGAACCCAAAGGGTAGGCCACGGATATGGAGGAACTGCTCCCGAGAAAAACCTTTCGGTACATAGTTGAGGGGTGATAAAGGTGCCCAGGCATGTCCAGGTTCAAGGCTGTCCAGAGTTTCCTGCCCAAGGACCTTTCAGGATCATGAACAGTACGGGGCAGGTCTTGTCTGGATACAGAATGTGATCAAAAAGGACAAGCCACCGACCACAATGTTGACCCCGTATTAATCAACCCCAGTTCATTCATAGATTAATAGGGGTGGGTGTTCCCCTCCAAAAAGCGATGGTTCCCCACAACACCCCAGGGGCTCAACCCTATTGATGCACAGGGGTTGGTTAAAAGGGGGGTCGACAAAATCAACCCAAACACCAGCCAAGCCGCTGAGTTCTCGTCCAATCCTGGCGCTCCGGCCAAATTTGAGCTGCTGCCCTATATCCGATGACACCTATGAATACTTGGGCGCACCACCGGGTCCTTCATATCAGGCATGGAGAAACTGACGCTGGGGCCTCCTCAAAGCCGTTCTTCCAACAATTGCGCCCCTCAAAATGGGTGGGTTAAATGGTTGGTTGTCAGGCTGAAGCGTCGGTATTTCTGGCCGTTCCCTGGCCTAAATCCTGTTTGGTTGAACCCACAACATAAGGGACGCCCCCTTACATAACGAAAAGGCGCGGGGTTGTTTTTCAGCCCACATGGATAGTAGACTAAGTAGCCCCTGAAACCTTAGAATCGCGTGTTCCCTCACCCTTTCGGAAAATATATATATATATACTTGCATATATATATATATATGTATATATACACATGTATATACATATATGTTCTAGGCTTCCTTGGCCCCCCACCCCCCCCCCAATGGTCATGCTCAGTGTGACCGTACAAACCCCCCACCCCCCTGTGGGATGGGTGGCGGGGGGGGTGCATGGTTCCCACCTTTTCCGGGAGAATGGTAGCACAGTGTGACCGCAAGCCTCCCCACCCCCTGTGGGATGGATGGGGGTTGGGGTCTACAGAGGGTAGCACAGTGTGACCATGAATCCCACACCGCCCGCCCCCGGGGTCTATAGCAAGTAGCAAGGTGCGTTTGCCATTTGCCACTGGCGCGTTGCAGCGCACTTGGTTAGCACTTGGTTGCGGCGCTGCAAACCACAAACTGCGTCGTGGCATCGCGCGCTGTCACTTGCGACAGCGCTGCAACTTGTCGCGTGCTGCGAAATGAGCAAATCGCACTGCAGCGCAACACACGACCAGAGACGCAAACGCGCGCAACGTCGAGCGCACACTGGCGCGAACCGCCCCACACCCCTGGATGGACCCATACCTTGGGGGGGGGGGGGGGGCTGGCGACGACGGGCGACGGGAACATATCTCTCTCTCTCTCTCTATCTCTCTCTCTCTCTTTCTCTGCGGCAAATGGCAGTCCCTGGCGCGCCCTGCCCCAGCTGCACTTGCACGGCAAACCGGAGGCCGCGCCCCCGTAGCGCAATACGGCGCGCTTTGTTTTGTTTTGCCTCCCTGGTCGCGTGATCACACAGCGAGACTCACCAAGAAAGGGGGTGAAACCACAGCAGCACATGAGTAGAAAGCACGGGCAGGCCAATGGGCAGCAGGAATACAATGAAAAGCAAATCCTAGACCCTGGACTGACCACGGCCAGGCTCAAACGAATTGCCAGCCCCGCACACGGCAGCCAACAGCTCAAAGAGCTATATTGTCTAGCTGCAACTGCTCAAGCTGGCGTAGATGAAGGACACATACTGGGGTTACATTCAGCCTTCAGGATTGCTATCCAAATCGGAAGCAAACACTCGGCTGCGCGGCACCAGTGCCGCCGAAGCTTCTGGATACCTCCAAGAGCCATCTGCTTTACAGATACGTCGGATACACATCAGGTGCTGGGGGTAGCCTTTTGCCCTTGGCCGGAATTAGGACCCCAGCAAAAAGCTAGATGTTTTTTTTGCCCTTTTTCTTAAACAGGTGAGTGGAAGACAATGGGGACCGTCCCCCGAAAAAGCAAAACCATCCACGAGGCTCCCTGACCTTTATCCGCATCCTCGTTTTTTGGGCCCCGGCTGGCCCAATGATTCCCCGGAGCACGGAGGTCGCGCCTGAAGCGTCGCTGGGGCGCCTCTCCACAAGCGCCTCCTGCACCTCCAGCTTCTCGCTTTGGCTCCTGCGATGCGCACGGGCGCCGCGTCACTGGCGGTCCGTCCCGCCTCGTTTCCCGAGTGGATGGCCCAGAAGGAAAAAAAAAAAACGTCCAGACTTTGGTTTTTGAGACGAAAAAAAGGCGTCCAGGCCCCAAAAGTCGAAAGCTCCAGGAACCGGAAGTGAGTCTTGGGTTCAAACACCGGAGCCTGCGAGTCTGAGAGCCCCAAAATTGCGAGTAAACCAACCGCAGGACATGGCTTGCAATGAGAAGCCCTGGAATACAAACAAAGAACCTGAACTCGGTTGCTTTCTGCTCCCCTGCTAAAAGTGTACCTTTTAGTGACTCAAGCAAGCAACAAAAAACAAACACATTTTTGGCAAAAAGTTACAGTCCTAACATCCCTTGGCAAAATGCGAGCCAAAGTGAAGCAGGACCCATAACCACAAAGATTCGGCCTTGAGGCATCCCCCGTGTCTGGACACCTCCCCGGACAGCGGCGGATTCTACGCCCAATACCAGCAGGGGACCCGGGGGAACGTTGGACCCAACATGCGTAGCACCTTCTGCAAGAAAGCGCATAGCCTCCCACAACATGAACCTGACGTGTTTGGGGAGTCCTGGCAGACCATTCTCCTCTTAAAGGGACCCCCGAACCTGATGACGTTCGGGTAACTGCACTTATCAGGGGCACACATACTGCCCTCCGCAAAACAAGGCGGTGAGGCCTAAACTGGACGCGTGCACCAATTTTGGGCTCCAATCCCAAAAAGGGTCTCCTCTACATTGGAATCTTTTTTGAGGGTTTATGAGGGAAAGCCGTTGGCCACAGCGCCACCTGGCACCTTTCCATGAGTTGGCAATTCACCAATTTGGGTACCACATTCAGTCTTTGACTTTCTGTGTTTTGATCACGCATCAAAAGGAAGCCCATGTCAAATGGGGCCAAAAGGTGATCCAATCACTTCAGTGAAAGTAGAAACAGAATTGGAACGCTTTTTGGGCTTGAGTCCACTTTTAGTGATGAAAATAAACAAACATAAATAAAATAAAATTGGCGCAACACCAATATGGAAGAAACAAAACGATTGGTGCCAGTGAACTGGAGCTTTGACTCAACTGCCCAGTGGCCATGGGCAAAAAAGGGCACCTTTTTCAAAGGGGAACCCTGGCCCAAAAACCGGAAAAATTGGCACCACTGGGGCAACAGAGCTGAGACCACCAAACCCAAAGGTTCCCTTGAAAGGAAGAAAAGAAAGGAATTTGGTAGGAGTATCAGGACATATAGGCCTGAAACTCCCCCTTAAAGAGGTGTCATCCGATTCCATGTCGAAATTGTAGCGCCGACCCCTCTGCAAAAAGTTTAACTGTTTGTGGGTTCAGTGGAAAACCCATTGATTTAATTTCTCCAAAAAAGTTTTTAGTCTAAAGATCCGTTACCCAATAACAGTCAAGCAAAAGTTCCATTGAGCCCACCCAACCCAAGGACGTAACTCTCTCGCCCAGCGGCTGCTCCGAGGTGAGGCGGCTCCAAATCGCCTGCAGGCTTCCTGCGGGGAAACAACATTGACTGCGAGAGAGCGGTACAAGGTTCAAAGGTTGGACAGGGATCCTTACATTATACACCTGAACATTGCCGTGTAAATGGTGGTGTCCCTGCATTTTGGGGGCAACAGCCATGTTTCAAAGGTTGCAGAATGTATCTTTTAAGGAGCCCTGTTGGAGTTCAAGGGAAACAAGACAATTCCGAAATCCATGTGCTGGATTTTAGACATGGTCCTCCAAATATGTTGGCACGTACCTCTTATTTGGTTCCGCAAGGACTTCTTGGGTTGTTGGGTCCGTGTTTCTGCGTCGAGCTCGTGTGGCCAAGGCAAAGCTTGCGACCCACTCACGGAATGTGGGAACCTTAGGAAGGGATACCCTGCGACATCGACCCTCGATGTCAAAGGGAAATCATCTTACCCTATGAAATTCTGGCTTGTTCATTCAAGAGCCCCGGAACGGTGAACCATGAAGTGAACCAACAAGGGAAAACCAAGAACAAGAAAAGTGGGAAGTTCAAGCGGACCAACATCCACTTGCAAAAACCCTGATATTTCGAGAATTGGAAGGCTGCAATAGGGCCAACATTGACTCAGCTAACTCAGCGATTCCTTCCGCCGCATGAAGCCCGCATTCAAAAGCATTGCTCAAAACATGCGCGCAACGGCTCGGCAGCCGCGAATCTTCGCCTTGCATTCAGGCACCTGCCTCTTCAACCAACTGGCGCGGGTACTCACCTAGCACAACGCACATACAAGTTACATCAAGTGGACCTGGACGGTGTGAGTCGAAGTGCAATATGAAAATCAAAAAAAGCAAAAGTCAGGAATTTGGTGTCCGTTGAAGGGGTATGTGATATATATATATATATATATCACAGGCCGGAAACAACTTGCTCCCTGAGTTGATTGGCCCAAACAAGTGACCACATGTGTTCTTTACCATCCAAACTGTCTTCCCAAGAAGTGACTAAAGTCCATGATCCCAGGAAGTGAAACAAAGTATGCCTCAAAGACCTCTATCCCGTATCTACTTGAAGCCCCGAATCGGCCCCAACCGCGGTCGCCTTGAAGCTGTCCAGCGAAGGAAAACTGGAAAACCAAAGGGAAACCGAAGCCAAGCTTCAATCCCTTAAGACACACCCAAAAAATTACGCCGTTTGGGAAATCAAAAACTGGCAAAGGCAAGCAACACCAACAAGCACGCTGCAACACGCCGCCCTTTTTGCACATAGGGCAAACAGCCCCTTCCCCGGCCATCCACCCATCCATCCATCCACCCATCCATCCCAGCCCCTCACTCGGGGCGCCCCCACCCCGGCACCACGTGTCCTTCGCCTTCTCCGGACAGTTGGCGGAAGACTTCGGGTAAAGAGCTCCTGTCGACCATTCTCTCCTCTCGACCCCAACCGGCTGAACCGTGTCTTCCCTGCGCCAAAAAAAAAAAACCGCCCTAGTCCATGTCCTGCGGACAGGGAAAAAAAGTTCTGTCCCTTAAAGGTGTGGAAGACCACCATCCTATCCCATGATATTGTGTTTCCGCCAAAAGTGCCAAGGGATCAATCGGCCCAACAAAAAGAACTAGACAACTAAGGCTTTCTTGGTGGTCCCTCCAGGATCCTTATGCTGGTTTTCTGAATGTCGAGGTGTCCATGTCCCAAACCAATCTTAAGAAAATCAAGAAAATCAGTGGGCCTTGTGATCATGGCAGCCCTGGGGTACACCCAAATGAAGGAAACCCGGTGGATTCATAGGGAGGCTGCTCCCTTTTGGTGGGGGTTAAAAGGGGACACCCCAACACAAGATGTTCTGATGTTCTGCTCTAACTAGTCAGATTCATACAGCTCAGGTTGATTTTCTGTTGGGGCTGTCTCCTCTTGGTGGGGAGTTCGTTTTCCTTCGGAGGGAACCTCCCTATTTGTAGGGCGAATGATTAATTTAGAATCAGCATGAGAAACAATATCCGTGCCGAATCCGTGCCATCAAAACCCCTGTGAGCCATATGGTTCACTGAAATTCACCAGACGGATCCGACCCCCTGCAACAAGCTTTGCATGTTGCTGGCTGAAAGGCAAGATGCTCGAACCCAGGCAATGACAGCTAGCAACAAAGCCAAAGGCTGGTTTTCGGGCCCAAATCTTGGGCAAGCGGAAATGTAGATGCTAGGATTCTGCTATGTTCGTAGCCAACCCTAGGAAGTATAACCATACTGTTGGAGACCCCTTTGACCATGGCACGCCTACTTTCACCCAAACAAACCAAAGTCGGACGATGCGAGATCTAGATCTGCACGGACAGCTTCATCCAGGGCATCCCAAGAAGAATTGAAATGACTCGTGGCCAAGGAAAGAAACAACGAACACCCCAAAGACATGGAAACACCAATTTCACACCAAACCAAACCACCAAAATCAACACATATCTCCCATTTCAACTATCATCCAAACAAAATCTTGGTTGCTGTTGACCCCCCCTGCAAAAAGTGTAACTTTTGGGGGGTTTAGTGGAAAGCCCAACTTGATTTCCCAAAGAATCAAGTCTAAAGATCTAACCCAATAGCAGTCAAGAACTCTCATTTCAATTGGCAACCTACTTGGCGATGCCAACCAGAAGGTTCTGCGGCCCAAGCGGCCCGCACAAGGGGGGCGGAGGCTCCACGACGCTAAGCCGCGGGAACCGCTTCGGTTCCTTGACCGAAGCCTCGGCGTAGAGCGAGTTTCCTTTTGGGGTGAATGCCCCAAAGGGGAGCATGTTGAATATAAGGGCGCAAGTAATACGAGACCGAAAAGTTTAGCTTTTAGTGGTTTAGTGGACAACCCATTAGTTGGCAACAGGTTAAAGTCCAAACATCCAAACAAAATGCACCAAAGAGGTTGTGGGGTACTTTAAAGACAACATGTCATGATGTAGTAAGCACATTCTACTCTAAGGCTTGTTTTCAGATTCTCATCACCCATGATTATTTCCACCCACTTCCCTGGGAATGAAGCACCTTTTTCTGAAGGGAAGAATTCCTGAACAGAATGAGGAGGGTCACGCCAGAAGTACGCGGCCTTTTGCGACGGGTGATACATGCTGTTAGCTGGCTGAGAATTCGGTGGCTTGCCCCCTGCAGCCAAAGGCGCCCAGGTACTGATGAATCCACACCAGGCACCAGTTGACATGGATAAACCTGTATCAAATTTACACCACGGACCAACTAGAGCAAATTGGACTCTGTCCGACTATGGGTGTGTCTTTTTGGGGACCCCCCCAAAAAATAATAATATATGGTGATCTTCCATTTATTTTCCTTCGACACGAGAAACAAGGGGTGCCAACTCCACAAAGAACGCATGTCCTAATAGGAAGCCTTTTCAAAACAAACCTGGTGTTTGTTTGCCAAAAGTACATACCCCCCAACCAGTCCTCCCCAACATGAAATCAAAAAAGTCGCGCGATAATGTGATACAACTTATCCAATGCCTCTCAGTTGCAAAGCTGTTGCCTGGAAACTTCTTCAACATTCAGGACCCATGTCAAAAGGGGGAGACCGGACAAAAAAGCAAAACCCTAAGATGATGGTCGTCCTTTTGATGTCTCCTCAAATCAATCCCTAAAAAATACTTCAAAAATAACATACACAAACGCACGCAGACACACACCTCATCACATTCATGGACAAGCCGTTCAGAATCAATGCAACTCAAGTTGCGAAGTTGCGAATGTTCTCGTCAATTCAAACTCACTTGCCCAAAGGGCCTGAAACCTTGACTGACCATTGCACATGGAGAAACAAACGGTGATTTCAGGTTGGTTTGGACCGCCGAGCAAGATTCTTTGCCGATGCTCAGTAGAGGGAATGAACCCAGAATTCCCCTTAGAGGAAACCGCCAGTTGGATTGGTTTATAAGGGTCATTCCATTGCTCACTCCCTGCCTGTCAGCAAGAAAAGGAAACCACAAGGGACGGCTTATACGCTTTATACGGGTCATTTCAGGGGTCCCTGAGGCGACCCCCCAACAACCGACCCCCCAATTCCTTACAACCACTACCTCTGAATTGGGGGGTCGGTTGTTCTTCACCTCAAAGAATTGTGATCATTCCATGGCTCATTCCCTGCCCTTCGCACCAGCCACTTTTTGCGATTCCAAGCCTTGGCCTTGGGTTCTGCGCACCGCCCGCGCTCTTGAAGGAGGCTGCACCTGGAGGCTCGACACCCCGGAAGGAAACCCGGTGGATGCACAGGAGCTGCTCCCTTGTGGGGCTTCAAAGGGGACACCCCAAAACAAGATGTTCTGTTCTCTTTGCCAGACGAAGAAAACCCCAGGTTGACTTTTTGTTGGGGCTGTGTCCTTTTAGTGGGTGATCACTAGAGGAGACACCCCCTTGTTGATAGGAAGAAATACTATTCCGGGGCCAGCGTTGAAGACATAGAACCGGGCAGGGGATTTGAAAGCGTGTCCTGCTGTAACACAAAAGCTTGAACTTGACTAAAAGTCGACCCAGATGTGCTTGTTAGTAACTATTTGTGGGGACCCGGCACCTATCCAAAGTAAGTGGTGGCCCAACTAGTTTTGGTCCCACAAGACAAACAGGAAATGCGTGGGGGACCCGCCAAAAAGAATGCACAAAAGCGTGGAACCCGCGTGAGGAGGGACCTTAGACCATAGCAGGGAGCACCGCCCCACCTAAATCGGAGACATCGTTTGCCGAACCAGTTGCGACCAGTGACGCTAGGATGGGTGGACCCGCAAAAGAACCGGCGAATGAGTGGGGAACCCACACTAGACAATCAGGGATTCGAGGGGTGGTTAGCGTGTTGCTTTGTGTTGATTTTCGCTTTATCTGTGTTGGTTCATCTGCTTATCACTTTCTGGAGCTAGCATGCAACAACGTGCTTGTGACCGCACGGTGCCTATACGAAGGATCTTTCTTGTTTTATCTTATCTTCTGTTTGCTCGCCTGCAGACATATCCGATGCTCCTCAAAATGAGATTCCTCGGAAAGCTTTGCCAACCAGGCCGACATAACTTGAATTCATTGAAGAGCTCAGTCTTCACGGTCTGTGAAGCCCTGATCGGGTTCCCACTGTGCTTTGGGCGTGGCTCATGTGGCGACTTCTGTGCCAGGAATCCTGGAAGCGACCTGTGTCTTTGTTTGAGGGTACCCTTCTACCCTTCTTTGCTCTTGGAAAACGATCCATTTGGGGTGGAGGGTACCCCAAAAAACAAACGCCCCGAATCGGCGATCTTCGACAGAAGCCGACCCGGGTTGCAGGCCCTTTGCTTGAGATTCCTGGCGCCCGTGTAAGGGGGCGTATGTGAAGCCGGCGACCCCCAAGGTCCCACACACAAACACACCCAAGTGGGAACCTCCGGAGTAAGGCCAGGGAATCCCACAAAGGCCCGTGGAGACAACCATCGGGTGTTCGCCTGCTTTTGCTTTGGGGAAGCCATCCACTTCCACAACTGGAAATAAGGACGAGGATGATATTTCGCAGCTGCTCGTCTTCCAAAAAGAACCGCGCAAAAGGAGACGAGTCAATACCGGAAGTGGCCCCCGCGACGCTTGCCAGGATGTTTCAACAAGAACCTCGACCGCAGCGAGCCGACGCATCCAGGGCGCAGGGGGGCGCCGAGCTCCGTGTTGCCAGACATGATGGACCGCAAGAGCTTCATGTGCTGCGTGGGCCGCATCTCTTTGCCTGCGAGAATGTGTGCAAAGCCAGTGCCACGTTTACTTAAGGAGTCAGTCGACAAAGGCTGCGCCATTCAGGTTGCACCTCGCTAAGCAAATGGAGTGAGAGCTGGTGGAGAGTTGGTGGACAAGAAAATGAGCTGGTGGAAACAACAGGGGGAACCATGAGAGCTGGGAAGAGACGCTATAAGAGTTCCGAGACTGGTCCCTTGGTCTAGCGGCTCACTGCTTCCAGCCTGGGTCCTCCAGTCGAGAGGAAAGAATAAGGGTACCCGTTCTCCTGCAGTCTATTTATTTTGGTAGGGGAACACTCCCAACCAAAAAGAATCGGTACAAGTTGGCACTACTGGTAAAACAAATGGCATAATTTCCAGTAGTGAAATCGATTCCCTTTAAAACCAACAAGGGAAAATAGGGTACAAGTTGGCACCAAGCTGGGGACCCAGCCGTCCGCTTTGAACGGGGCCAAGGTGCGTGGCACCGACTGCACAGGCGACAGGGAGGAGAAGGCCCGATCCCCGTCCGGGCCGCCTGGCGCGCGGACGAGTTGCGACTGCTTTGGGACTGGCCTTCTGGCCGATTTCAGCAGGCGTCTCCAGGGAGCAGGGAGAAAAGAAATGTCGGCCGCGTTTCAAAAACCAGGAAAGGCACGCTAGGACGCTCTGAAAGAAAGGCGTCTCCAGAAAAATCGTAAAAACCTTTCCCAGAAGAGGAGAGGCAAAGAACAAGTCCCTGCTTCATGCAACTTCCATTTGCTTGAGCCCCCTGGACAAAATATTAAACAAATATATGTCCAATCGTGATAGATTCCCATTAAAACCAACAGGGGAAAAACATATCATTTTCAGCAAATGGAAGTTGCTGTGGGGCAAAACAACTACAACTGGAAGATACTGGAAGCGCATGCCTACGCGGAGGCAAAAATCAGTCTTCCACGTCAGACTTCATACGGAATTGACTAGCCGCCCGTCCCGTTGTTCTCGTTCCCGCAGGGCCTTTCTGCCAGGTGAAGAGCTCCCATAAATGGCTCCGCAGCGGCATGCTCCGCCTGCCGCTTGCCGTGATGGTCTATTTGCCTCGCCTTCCGAACGGTTAGAAGAAGCGAAACAAAAGGTCCAAACAGGTCGTTTACGACTGAAATGCTCCAAACCCGAAAAGTGTTTAATGTCTCAACAAACGCAGAACGTGAGTTGCAAATAAACCCAACGACCCGCAAGAAAACCAGTTGGTAAGTCTTACACTAGGGGGTTTGCAAGCCAACCCCTTGCAATAGTTAAGGCCTGCTACCCACCTGCTTGCCCTCGGCGATCTGAACCTGTTTGGTAGAACCCACTTGGGTTTCCCGAGGAAAGGTTTATGAGGCTCTCCCGGCAAGAGTGCTAATCAACTTTATGAGTTGAGGTGAACGGCACCTACCCAAACGTTCGACCCTGAAGTTTCCCGGGCCCCTGCCTCCGTCTACATGTCTGGCAATGGGCTTGAGCAATGTCCGTCCGGCTGCGACAGAAAAACGTCTTGGGGAAAAGGGCACATCCCAGAAAGTTAAATATTTTCCCTCTTTCCTCTTCTTGCTAGTGCTCAGCAGGGAATCTTGGTGCACAAAAACATCTTCTCTGGAGAGCCCATGGACACACCCAACAATCACCTGACTCAAGGATTCAGATCCAAATCAGCCGGCAAATGGGATCAACATGGCCCAAATGCGGCCGGATTCAGCTCCAGAGGCTGCTGAAGCGATGCCTAGGGCCTAGGTATTGCCCTAAGGCAATTTGTAGCCCAGTGGTAGCTCATTTGAGTCTGTCTGTTTTTGAGGGTGCGCTTTTTGGGGGCTGGCTTAAAGGGAAAAAAAGGATGCCAAGCATTTTGGGCGCTCCCCGAAAAAAAAAAAAAGAAGAGCACACATTGCAACGGAAACATGGACGCGCGAAGTTGGCGTTTTGGTTGCGCCTTCAAGATGGATCTCCTTAACCTTGAAACAAATACCCCACATGCAGACACCTTTGTAAAACCCAATGACTCAGATTTGAAATGTGTGTTCACGCAAAGGATAATTACTGGCCCACGCCGGGAGGAACACAACTCCACATGAACAGATTCTACTCCATAGTTGAGCGATTTTCAAAAATGGAGTACTTCTTTAGGAGACCACAGATGGGTGCGAAATGCGGGACTTGCATGCGCAAGCGCTGAGTGTCAAATAGGAGAGGGGGGTATGCAATTTATGATGCAGGTCCTCCAAACGCCGCGCGGGTATCGTGAAAGATAAGGATGTGTGGAAACCGCGGCCAGTTGTGCTGGATGAAGCCCTAGTGTGCGTGGACGAAATCCGCTTCTCGCACCACCTAAGAAACCCAACGGAATGATGATTCCCCGTAACTACCAACAATGGTTTCAACCATGGTGTCAAGTGGTGCAGGATTTTGTCCATCCACAGTATGTATACTGGGGGTAAACCACCTACCAGCTGCGGGATTTTGTCCATCCACTGTGCGAGGCAGCGGCTTTTTGTTGCAGTGACGCGCTGATCTAAGCACATCGCAAGGCCCGGGCAATCCCTCTTTCCGGCACATCCTCCGACCTGTGCAGATCTCCTCCCTTGCAAACATGGAACCAAAAAAACAAAATCATCGAAGGGATCTTCTCTTGGGACCGCCTCCTCAAAAGTTGTGAGGTTCCATGTTCTGAGGAGTACGCCTCCGCCATTTAAACCAACCCTGGTGATTCCTCGGCTCCCCGGCATGCTGTTTCGCCTGTGGCGTTCTGTGCAAGCATGAGCCAGGCTCATTCCGCTTCCGCTCACTCCGCTCACTCCGCTCACTCCGCTCACTTGTCCTCCTTCTTCTTCCTGGCGTACTCCATCGCCTGCCACGAAACCTTCCATGGGTCTTTTGAGCATGTCCAGGCATCGCCCGTCCCCGTGCCTGCAGAAATCGAGGCAGATACATGTTCAGTGTTTTTCTTTGGCGCCCGGCACTGTGTGCCCACAGAACCGTCGTGTCGATAGCGGCCCGCGCTTTGGGCGATGATGTTCGCCGTACAAGTCCCCTTGGGAAGTATAGGTTGCGCACGCTCGCGTGGACCCGCACGAAAGGCAGCACAAGCACAAACTTCTTTAAGAATATCCTGAGAGGGACATCGGATTCAGCTGGACGGCTGAATCAATCAATGGAGTCCCCTTGAACTCAACACGCTTCTGATAAACCGGAGAGTTTTCAGCAATCTAAAATGGATACTGAGTCACGCTTGTGCTATGCCGTTCTCAAAGCGTCCACGCGGCCAGCTTCAGTTTCATGCCACAAGCGGGGCAGTGCACTTGCTTTTGCTCACCATGCTGGTTCGCTTGTGGATGCCTCCGGGGAAAACAAGCAACTCCAAACCGGCTCCGAACTTGCTTTGACACACAACCGAAAGCCTCCGTGGCCGGGACTGAGTACCCTCTAGGTGTGGGTTTGCCACTTCGAGGGAATACTTCAGCGACCCCCCTTGCCACGCGGGACCCCCCACGCGGGACCCACCAACCCGAGCGCGCCTTCAGTATGGAGTTCGACACGTCCTGGTCGCTCTCCCCCCGGCCCGTGCGCCGCAAGCGCCGGAACACCTTCTGGAAGGCCTCCAGGTGGTCCTGGCTCTCGTGGACCTGGTACCTCAAAAGGCGAAGCGAGTTCAGCTTACGTGGGAAGCTGGGGCTGGGGGGGGGTATGATAGACACTTGGGGTCCATTTTGCAACCACCTTCATTTGTTTGTTTTTTTTTTGGGGGGGGAAGTTTGAGTCTGCAACATACGCTCTAAGTGTTCATGCAGGGGGGAGGGGGGGGAGGGGGAGGGAAAGGGAGGCTCAGTTGCCCAAAGGACCCAGAAACAACTGAGCTTCTCTTGGGGCTTTGAGAAAACCTTTGAAATGGCTGGTAGAGGTGGTTTAGACTTTGGACGAAATTCAGACTACCATGTCCCTAACCAGAACTCCGGGTAGCTTCGAAACGCCCCCTCTTGGACAGCAAATTTGGACACCCCCAGCGAGACCGGCTCCAGTCCAATCACCAGCTAAAGGGCTAACCATTTGGTTGTTGGCAGTCGGGGTGAGGGGCCGAGTGTTTAGGAGCAAAATTGTGTTTCTCATGGGTAAATACTGGCACCTCTGTCTTGGCTGGCCGATGTTGAAAAAGAAGCTCCAAAACCAGGCTAAAAATACAAGGACCTGAAAGCAAGCTAACACAGGGGGTACCTTTTTCACCACTCGCAGGTCAGTCGAACATGATCTTTGAGTTTGGTCCTTATCTTCTACCAGGAGCAAACAATCAAAAGAACCTCAAAGCAAAGGGGATCTCCTTGGGGTGCTTTCCTTTCTGTTTGAACCCCAGAAAGAGAGGGTATATCCCCTGCATTTCTTTCTCTCACACCGCATGCACAGCGGGGCCCTTAATCCAAGATGCTCCTTGTTGATATCTGTTGATCTGTCCGTTGGCAGCTTGGCGTACCTGGGCTATCCATCCGGCAAAAAAACATCAACCGCCTTTTTGCGCTGCAAACGAGGCGCTGGTGCGGCCTAGGGCTTGGGAGATGGTCTTGTTTGGCTCCACTTGAGGCTTTTGTTTTTGAGAGTTCCATAGGCAGAACACCCTCTTTCCCGCAGTTTCTTCCGGGGCGTCAACAACCCTGACTTCTCGACTTCCATGAACAACGGCACACCCTTTGCCGGTTTGAGGGGAGGTCCAAATCCCTATGGAGGGTCCTTTCGGCTTAGGGTAACATCTTTGACAAAGACCCCAGGCTGGTGATTCCAAATCCAATCCAAACCACCAACTATGAGTGACCTGACATCTGGGGTACACAAAGAGTCATCTGTTCTGATTTAGTTTCACATGTGGTTAAGTCTTCTAACAAAACATAAGGAGCTACGCACTCAAAATCGTATTTCTCCAGCCACATTTAGCCACAATGATAAGCTGATAGCTTGAAATGCCTGTTGCCCCTATATTTTTCATATAACTAAGCGCCTGCACCTTTGAAACTCACTTCCTGAGTGGATTGGCCGAAAAAAGTAACCACACTTTTTATTTGCCACTAAAATGGTCGAAACCCAGAAAGTGACTTAAGTTCATGAACTCAGGAAGTGAGACACTCAAAGGTTGTGGCTGATCCTAGGTTTCCGTCAGGCCAAAGGTGGCAACCGGTAGAGTAAATGAGCTTGGACACATTGGACCCATTTGTCCTCATGTGCCCTTGCTTGACCAAATTTAGTGTACCAATTGACCATTTCACGGTGCTGGTATCCAATTTTAGTTCTACTGGACCTCAACGTATAGGCATAAGCTGATCAGCTTGACATGCTTGTTGCCCCCATGATTTTTTGTGGAAACCGGGCCTTCTGAGAGATTGGGCCTCCGCAAAAAAGAACAAACAAGAAAACAAACAAAAAACCAAGCCCACAAAAAAGAAGAACAAAAAACAGGGCCCAAGTTGCATGCCCTCGGTGGAGGCTGCCTGCTCCAATCGCTGGCCTCGGGAACCGAAAGCGGTTAGGCGCGCAGCCCGTGGGTTTCGGGCGGGAGGCAAGCCCAGGGCGTTGGTCCCGGAAACCACCAGGCAGGGATGGTTGTTTTTCCCCCCCCCCTCAGTTGCCCAAAGGACCTGCAACTAAAAGGTTAACCTTTTGGGGCCATGACTAAATATGGACCAAAACGGAAAAACCAAAAGGTCAAAAGGTCGGCTTTGAACAACTGAGCCCATGTTTTTGCGGGGTCGGTCCATTTTCTCATTTCCCGGCCTATCGCACCAGCGCGGATAGTGTGTTTTTCATGCTTGCTGGTGTGGTTTCGAGGGTACCCGTTTCAGGTTGGCTTCAAGTGAAACCATGGTAAAACCAATGGCTAGCACTTTTCAGGTTGGTTTCAAGTGAAGCTTCCCTTTGAGTAAATCCAAGCACATCAATTTAGCACAGAGCTTGGCTTAAACCGGGTTCGTACATTTGGCCACCCCCGAAAAGGAAAAATCAAAGAGCAAGTAGAATGGAACCCAAGGGTGTCAAGTGCTCTTTGGAATCTGGTTTTTGGGGAAGCCATGTTGGCACAACTTGGTTGACGTTGGAAGGGGAGCATAAATTATCAAATTTTGGCAATTAAGTGGAGTTGGATTTCCACCACTAAACCACAATAAGCAAAAATGGGAAAACAGTTTCGCAACAACAAGCATGACAAAAGTTCTATCCCGGCACTGCCACTTCCAAAGAAAAAGTGCCGAGGCGCTGCTTGCCTTTGGCCGGAGTCTGTTGCCCAAGCGCTCGTCGATGCCTCCGATACCGCAGGCGCTCGCAGGCGCTCGCAGGCGCTCGCAGGCGCTCGTATCGACAGCGTGGGTTTGGCAGCGCAAGGGTGGCGCGAAAGGTGGAATCGAGGGTCACAGGGGGCCTGAAGGACACACCTAAGAGGCAGAAACCCTTCGAAGCAGCGTGAACCAGCAACTTTCCAGGGTTGTCAATTGTGGCTCAAAAGAGGGCACATG